TATAATAAGATGTCGGCGGCAGGCAATGTGGGCCTGTTGGCGAAGTTGAGATCGTGGGTTTGCATGACGTGTTTGGCCCATTCTGGCGAGGAAACGATGACGCAAGGTACTTGTCCGAGATCGAGCTGCATCAGAGGCCCATGTTTCCGAGCCAACTCCGCCAGGCGGCGGTGTGGGAGCGACGAAGTCATAATTAACTGGTGGAGATTTCCGATGATGGGCAGCTTCCTTGGCCCAGGAGGCCGCACCCCAAGCGGTTTGGGTGACCTATTGGTATTGGAGGACCGTTTCATTACTAGGAGGAGGAATGATATTGATAAGATGACAAGGCTGCAGAGACTGAGGATTAGTGCAACGGTATCATCCATTGTTAATTGCTCTTAGCTTCTCTGGTGCGTTTGAGATGGGATGTTATTGAACAGCAGCACGTACGTACTACTTATTCATAATTTAGTTACATGTACCCATGTGCTTGCCATCCAGATCCAGCTGTATATATTAGTTATTATTATTATTATTATTATTAGTATAATTAATCGGCGAGTAGACTTAAGGGGTCTAGGTAGGTACGGGTGGGTCTACTGTAGGTTTGCTGCACCCCCATTTATCAATTCGTAGTTTTCAGTTCGATTTCAATTTCATCAACGATTCGTAGACGGCTGGTCAAGTTGGATTGCCGGATTTACTCCCGTTGCTGTTGAGAAGCATGCAGAAGCCAACCTAGAAGTTCCCTTGCATGTCTGGCAGCTCCACACCACTGGTCTTCTATCCTTCCCCTTCTCCCCAAATCATATAGGATGTTTTTGTTTCCCCCTCCTGATCCAAGGCACTTGGCCGATGGCCATGTCAATTGAAGCGACTGGTGAAGCAAAATTATTCCATCTATATATAATTCTCTACTCCATGAAATCAAAGCGAATCGTAACTCAACCCGCTGCAACAACCATCGATCGACTCCTTGATTTCGTTTTATCTTCCTCGATGAGCTCATACCTGAAGCATCAAGTTCCCACCGGTTTGGGGTTTTGGTGGTGAAGAGGGATCAATATTGCAGGTTCAGGTAAGCTATGAGCAATTAGTGCTGGGATTTTTTCACCATTCTCCGATTCGTGCTGCCAAGAAGTGGCTGTGGAAGTTTGCGGTTGAAAAGAATAAGTGGTGGCGCGAGTTGATTAGCTGCAAGTACCCAAATCAGCTTTCGTGTTGGCAGACAAATCGAGCTAGAAATGGTTTCTCCCGGTCTGTTTGGGCAAATGTCACGAAGGAATATGACGTGTTTTGGAAATATGCTAGCATTGATCCAGGGAATGGCACCCAAACTTCATTTTGGCATGACTGTTGGATCCCCTCCACCGTGTTGGCTGCCTCGTTCCCCCGCGTTGCTGCTGCCGCTGCTGAGCCAGAAGCCCGTCTTTCCGACATTGCAAGCTTCAATGGTGAGGTGGTGAGTTGGAACCTTAATCTTAAATACTCTCTAAGGGGTGGGGCTGAGAGGGAAAGGGATAATCTTTTTAATCTTTTGAACTCTTGTGATTTTTTCAATAATTCCTGTAGCCCTTGTAGAGTCAGATGGAATATTGAGTCGAATGCTAGGTACTCTGTGAGCTCTTTGTACAGGCAATTGGTGACGGAGGAGTTTGGGATTGACGACGAGTTCCCGACATATCAGATCTGGAATAAGTGGGTGCCGACAAAAATCTGTTTCTTTGTGTGGCTTGTGTATCATAACAAGATACTCACAATGGACAATTTGAAGAAAAGGGGTTGGAGTTTGGCTAACAGGTGTTGCTTATGTTCAAGGGAAGAGGAATCTGTTGGGAACATGTTTGTGGGGTGCACTTTTTTGATGGATTTATGGGGACTCATCTATTGTAACAGGAGAAGACTAGGAGAAGAGGAAAGGGATGTGGCCATTATAATTAAGTCGTGGCCTGGGCAGCAGGATACTCGCTCGGAGGAGACTGAGAAATGGTTTTCCTCGTGTGTGTTACATGCGGTGTGGTGGTGTACATGGCTGGCAAGGAATCAGAGGGTGTTCGAAGAGAAGGCTTTGTCGGTGTCAGTGGTGGCCAAGAAAGCTGCCAAAATCGCGATGGAGTGGGTAGTGGCACATGGCAAAGTACAGGGGGCTTCGGGGTCGAGATGGCTTAGAGAAAATGGGATCATCTGAATGCATACGATCATGAGGAGGCAAAGGGTTTGGACGGAGGTGAGGAGGGTGGCATTGGCGTGTAGAGAGGCATATACGAATGGGAGTGAGAGGCCAACGGTGCTGCCACGATTTAGCTGCTGTTTTTTTGTTTCCAGCTACAGTAGTGGTGGGCTGGAGAGGGGCGTCCGGGTTGAAATTTGCAGACACCCATCACCTGGATAGGGATGGAATTCGGAACTTGGCTGTGAATTTGTGTAGGGGCTGAACTTGCAAAGAACAAAGGAAAACATACATGGAGAGGACATTGTTGCTGCCATGGTTAGTAGCTGCTTTATAGCTTCCTGCTGCAGTAGTGGTGTGGTGGAGAGGGGGCGTCCTGGCACTGCTGGTTTTTATGTGCTGTTATTGTCTCTGGTTGCATTTGCTTGAGGTGTTCGAGATCCTTCAGGAGTGGCTCGATCCACTTAGTTGGGTGTTTGCTCTTTATTTTTCCTTCTCTGTCAGTTCATTAGGGGGAGGTTCATCCCTTGTGAACCTCTATTGTTATCCCTTTCTGTTTTGTTTGTAAGACTCTTTTTGGTTTAATGCAATTCACCATTATAAAAAAAAAAAAGAACTCCGGCGGGCAAAATCCCGCCAGGTCCCGACATCAGACATTCCCCAGTTACCTTATCTGCGAGCAATACTAAAAGAGACATTTAGGCTGCACCCAGCACTTCCTTTGTTACTTCCCCGCAAGGCAGGTGCATATGTGGAAATCAACGGCTTCACCGTGCCCAAAGGTGCAAGAGTTCTACTCAATTTATGGGCTATGGGCCGGGATTCAGCCATATGGGACGATCCAACCTCGTTCGTGCCAGAAAGATTCTTAGGCTCTAATACTCGAAAGCCATGCACTATAGAGCTTCTAACTCTAAGTACACATTTATGGCCGCCCCTGAATAAGATGGTCTTGAGAAGTAGCCCTAATCCTAACTTGGCAAGGCAAGGATCTTACCCGGTATGATCTTCTTTTGATGAAATATATTCAACCTATACGTAAATGAAAAACGTAGATCATATGAGTGAATCTTCATATTTGTTAAATTATGGTAATTTAGATATATTTGGGATTGTGATGATATAAATGAAAAAGCAATATTTAAATGAAAGTTTAAAAAAATTGATGGTAAATAGTAAAAAATTGGCCCTACCAACAAAAAAAAAATATATAGTAAAAAAAAGGCGAAAATCTTGGACCATATCTAAAGAGTGTCGGAGATCCCATCTAATGTTTTCCGCAATTAGCATGTTATTAAATAAAGTAACAAGTGGCTGACAGCTGCTGTTTTATGACTAGGCGTGGAGCACTGAAATTAATTATATATATCAGAATATGGTGGGGTGGTTATTTGTCAGAATTAAACAAATTCTATCTAATTACATCTTGTTTATGGAGAGGACAATGTTGTTGCAGACTTTTTTTTTCGAAATTTTCTTCCATTTCTCAATCCAAATTTGATTTCCATATCTAACTTTACTGAAAGGAGCTAGTTGGCACGTGGGAGGGAAATGGGCTAGCTAGAAAAACAAAGGGATCGATTAGTTAAATGACTGCCACCGCAAGTGATGTGAATGATATTCCTCAACAAATAAATAAATTACTTGAAAATGGAATAAGTTGGAACAGTGGAAGCCGACAAACGAATTGAGCCAGTCAAGGCTGCTGACCACGTTCTGAGACTATTTAGAATCATAATTTCATTTTGAATTTGTTTGCAAATATTAACGACTACAAACTAAATCTTCCTGCAATCACAATTCACACATAAAGCTGTACTTGAAATCAGTAGTAAGGAATATTTCGAAGGAAAATAATTAATTAGGAACTATTGTGAATCCAAGATAAATATTAATGAAGATATATATTAATCAGTTTAGGCAAAGTAATTAAACCGGGATATATAGAAACTTATATAAGTTAATACATACGAGACCGAGAGTACAACCCAATCGAGATCTTACTTTCATTTTCATATCTCAATCCAGATAAAAACTCTTATTTTCAGTTTTCCTCAATTCAAATTAGTCTCAATGGTTGAGCTTTAATTTGCATATGTCGATCCACATCTAACTTTACTAAAAGGAGCTAGCTAAGCCAGCACGTGGGTTACGAGCACTACAAGAAAAAGTGGTTTTTGCAACCAAAATCTTTACAACCAATGTAAAATTGGTTGCGCAAGGGCTAATATTGACAACCAATTACATTTTGGTAGCAAAAAAATTAAAAAATTGGTTGCCTATTGAAATCAAAGTATCGATAACCAAATAAACCTTGAGAAGACCAAATAATTTGGTAGCAAAATGATTTATACTTTTCTCAACCAAATAATTTTGGTAGCAAAATGATTTATACTTTCTCCAACCAAATAATTTTGGTAGCCAAATAATTTGGTAGCATATTGAATTTTACTTTTTCCAACCAAATATTATTGGTATCAATTTATTTTGTAAATCATTGATAGCTAAATAAACTAAGTTGTTTGGTTGTATTAAGTTGATGATAAATAAATTTTAGGCATGACATATGGCTACCTTCAAAATTTGGCAGCGATAGTGTTAATTATTTTTATGTAAACAAATAACAACTCCACGTTTACTTTTCCATTTTCCTGCTAACCTATTCCGTCTCCAACTCTCCTCTTTTTTTTTCTTCTCATTTCCCTCTTTGCTACTTAGAAACTCTTTGAGATCCGACTACCAAATCGTGAACCATTATCTATTTCTTTCGTTCAGCAATCAAATCGCTGTCCATTTGCATTTGATTCCCTCAATCAGCTACCAAATCGCGATCCAGGAGAGACTGGTTATGGCGGGGGAGATTGGGGATCTTAGGAATCCAACGAGGATTTTTTTTAAATCCTCGATTTTCAGCATCGACTCGACGTTTCGGTCTCGTTTTGAGGATGCAACGAGCAATTCCTTGAGCGATGAGCGAGTTCTTCTTAGCGGCGATTCCGTTGCCGGTCGATTTCAAGAACTAGGACAGAACTTTGGAGATTCCATCGAAGTGAGACGGCCGCGAGCTGCGATTGCTTCTCCTCCCCTCCCGTTGCGGCTGCTCATCGAGCTCAAAAGCTCCTCCAGAACCACCGCACGATTCTCCTAGGATTCCCATGAGAATCGGTCTAACGCGGCGGCGATTGCTCCAAATGGAAACCCAGTTATGCTCGCTTTTGTTCCCCTAGCTGTCGATCATCCTCAAAATCTCCCGGAAGTCACTGCCCCTGGTAGCTCAGTTAGTGAGAAGGATACTATAGATTCTCAGGCACAAGACGAGTTGTGATTGGACATGAAGGAAAAGATACAGAAGCTAATCATTTGCTTAATGATATGATTGGGAGAGCCTCAAAATCAACCACCGGGTGTTAGGAACAATATTGGTCATTTGCTGGATGATATGAATGGGAGAAATTCAAAAGCTTCTTTATCCCGACGATTCATCGTATAAGTGGTTTTGCGGCATTCTATCCCTTCTCTGCTACTTTTCACACTTTGCGTTAGTTGGTTTAGCTGCAAGGTGTAGACGGCCAGAGGGGAACATAAGGTTTGTATATGGTTTGACACTCATACTTCAAGCCTTGATTGTTGTTGAGTCTAGAATCGGTAGTCTTTGACTGCAATTGCTGACTTCTGATGCATTAATAATGGCAGTTATCTATTTTGAAATTGCTTCTATTTGGTATTTATTGTTTGGATTATCAGAGCTTGAAGGCTGAAGCAAAGGTTTGCTGTTGATTTAGCATACCAATTCACCAAATATCATGGCTAGGTAAACCTTTCCCTTCTCTTTAAGTTCTGATGATTGTCCACAAGCTGCGAGTTATTACTCCAATTTGTATTGGTTGAATTGGCAAGCAACTTAATGCCCCCCTCTTTTCTGGGGCGTTGAATGTGTCTATTATGTTTTTAGGCTGAGATGATCTCTTTCTAAGCTCCATGAAGAACTACATAACATGTTCAAGTTTCTGTGTACCTTGCTGAGCTCTCAGATATCAACCATCTTTGAGTTTTATTCTTGTGATTGTATAATTCTGCGTTGGGGTTTACTTTCTCTGTTTATTCATCCATTGGAATGAATTTGTAAATGCAAACAGTAGACAGTAATTGTGGTACATCTTCATTAATAATATTGAAAATTTCTCACTTTGCATGTTTCTTTATAAGTACCATGTACCTAAAGTGCTTCAGAATCTGGTGTCCTTTCTTCCACCTGCCACTCTCAACAAATTAACCTTTTCTTTCTTGATTTCTCTATTCTAGCGTGGCCATTATATCATAGCAAAGAATCATCAGTTAACTTGTAAATTGTTGACTAGTTATGATTGCTCCATATACTAGACTATTTTCATGCAATTAATTTCTCTGTTCATATACTGAGAACTGACTGTTTCCTATATCTATAGCATTTATCTTTTGGTTGTAGTTCTAGAGAACTTAATATACTCTATTGATGCGATCACCTAGCCCTCATTGTATTTGTAATTCATCTTGTTTCTCTTAGCTTCATTTGTATCTTTTTTGGCTTCACCTCTCAGATTTAATCGTTTCTTCTTCAACAGGGGCGGTCATTATTATTCTTCTTCTAGCTGGTTTCTTACGCTGTGCATATGAAATATGTGTTTTCTATCTTACGGCTGGTAAACATGCTTCCAGGAGCTACTCTCCTTCTGGCTTCTATGCTGGCTTAATCACAATTTCCTAGGCAATCAACATGTTGTTTATTGGCAGAATGAGCAACTCTGTGTTTCTGCCTCTCAGCTCCAGTTACCAGGTTTGCCTCTATTCTATAAAATTATTTTTATTTTCTGCATTATTATTGACAGTATGGTTGGTTGATCATACTCTATTTGGTATTTATGGTTTCTAGTGAGAGTTAATGAAGCTTTTTTTTTTATTCTCTAGTTGTAGATAATGAATTAAGTTTCAGTTTTAGATGATGTTTGGGATAGATTGGACCTCCAATTCTACTGCTCATCTTCTTTGTTCCCAGTTCGATGCAACATTCTGGTGAAACATGGAGCTTATGTAGCTTGATGCTCTCTTTGACATATATGGAGAACCTTGAACTCACTTTTGTTGAACTTGTTAATCCTATTATGTTGGGGAAGGAAGAGTTAGTCTGGGGCTTCTTGTTGCATTAATTTGTCTGTTGTACTTGTCTGTGATAGAGGTATAAATATAAATGGCCTATGTGTAAGGGTATGAGGAGTTTTTCCTTCTTACTTCCTGCTTAATTTTTAAGTTCAACTGCTTCTTTTTGCCATTGTCTGGAAAATTTTACCTTGATGGTGAAGAATTGAATGACGAACTATTGGCAACTATAAGAGAATGGTTATATTTTGCAGAGTTCTTGACTTGTGCTCAATCTGACTGTTCTCAATTATGTGAAAATTTATGTTCTGCAGGTGGATCTGTTTTAGTAGAGTTTAAGAGAGCATTGGATGACTACTAGTCTCTTCTCATTGGTCTAACTTAAAAAGGTGATTGGTTGTTCTTTAAGTTTGCTTCTCTCTTTTATCCTTCTTGTTAATAAGTAGCTGATTGCTTTGAGTTTTGTTCTCCAGAACATGGAATTGAGGACTTGGTCAAGTTCAGGCTTACCTGTGGTTCTATATTCTTGAATTGTTGATTCTTGTACCTCTGAAATTAGGTATAAAGCAGTACCTGAGCTCTTTCGGGATTACTTCGAAACCTCTGGCTCTTTTGGCTGATCCGTCTTTGCTACAGGACAAGTTTTCCTAAGGACAGGTTAGGCATATGCTTACATTCAATCCTTCTTTTTCTTTTCCAAATTGCTGAACAACTGCAACTTGATTGGCAAATTGAACATTTAGGGGACAGTTTAAGCTTTAGAAGGAATTCTCACAGACAGCAAGAGAGCCAGCTTAAGCTTCTGTCTTTCATCTATGAGCCGATTATATCTTTAGTCTTGCAAGCTACCTAATTCACCTCCTATATTTGGTTTATGTTTGACTGAGAAAGAATGGTGTTCATGTATGCAGTTTTTCCATACCCTTGATGTGGATACAATCCATTACCTTATGATTTGTAATATTCATCCAAGCTATCCTCACATGACATATATCCGAAATGGTTGGATGGTTCATTTGCTTATCAAGTTAGTGATACATACTGGTTTAATGGGATTTATCATTGAATAGGTAAGTAGAAGCTCAATGTTGAAGTTAGTTGTTCTTTCCATTTTCTTTTGCACTCTTTTCATATTTCATATCATGTGTTAGGTTGGCGTTCATATTTGGTTGGAAGGCAGCAGAGTGACCCATAATAGATTTTATATGAGAAAGCAGTTTGGATTGCCTAATCGTATTTGCAGAATTTATAGAATAACGAATGCTCTTTAACATTCATATTTGGTAGAAAGGCAGTACGGTGATCCATCTTGCTCTTGAGCGCCTGACAGCGAGCTTGGTGGTCGGATTGGAGGGGCTTGAAAGCTTTTATCTCTGTAATTGTGATTTTTGAAATACTGGGTTTATTTTTAGGGATAAAATTGTTTAATTGTGATTTTTGTTACTAAATATTTTTATATATGAGATATGATATGAAGCAAATTTTTATTATATTTAATTTAATTTTTCAATTTCCGTTTTAGTGACCAAAATCTCAACAATAAATTTGGCCATATTAAATTATTTATTTGGTTGGCTTAAGTGTTTTCCGCAACCAAAATTCATGGTTGTGATAAACTTTTATAACCAAAAGAATTAGTTGTCTAAAATGATATAATAGGTCGACGTATGTATTTTCACAACCAAAATTCATGGTTGTAATAAATTTTCATGACCAAAAAAATTGGTAGTCATTATGATATTATTGGTTGATAATAATCACATAAATTGGTTGTCATTTATATTTATGGCCACCAATCATCTACATTTATCAACCAATAAAGTTAACTATAACAACCAATTTAAAATCGTCACAAAAAATCAGGGGTTTTTACCTTGGCAAAAATTGGTTGCGATAGCTGTCCTATTCGCTACCAATCATTATTTTGGTCGCGGTAGGATTTAGTAACGCGACTATAGCGACAAACTCTGCTACCAAATATTTTTGGTTACAAAAAAGTATTAATAACCAATTTATAACTTTTAGTAACCAGTATATTTGGTTGCAAAAAACCCTTTTTTGTTGTAGTGTCTTAAAAATACCATAATAATTATTAGTAACTTAAAATGGAATAAGTTCTAACAGTGAAATTGGACAACGAATTTATCTCTCTTGTTGTATCATATCCTTTACCGATTACACTTTGTTACCGAAGTAGGAAAGGAAAATGAGGAGGAGTGGAAAAATTTTGAGGGGAGAGAAATAGTAGGAAAAATGTTGTTTTTATACAGAAAAGTGAAGGAAAAAGTGAGAGAAAAAATATATTGAGAAATTTAAATGATATATGCTATTTTATTAATTATATTATATGAGAGTAAATATGTGGAAAATATATTTTTTACAAAATATGTAGAAATGGATATTATCAATAATCAACTTTTACATAACCTTTCTCTCAATCAATTTCATAATTTTTTAAAGGAATAATTATTGTTCATTTTAAACTCGATTTAAAAATTTCCGATAAAAATTAGATTTGGGTTGCTGTACAATATGACATTCATTCTATAAAAATCTCACACTCTAATTCTATTTTACTTGGAACGTAATACATTTTTAAGTCCCACATAATAGTTTTACTTATTGAGTAAAACAACATTATGCGGGATGTAAATAAGTGTTATGACATGTTCCGACCGGCTTGTATATATCATTTTAACAAAATATATAGTATAATCGAGATACTATTAACATCAAATTAATAACAAACAAAACAAATTCTCATATTTAAATACATCAACATCCAATCTTTTATACTTGAATATTCTTTATTAATTGAATAACTTAATAATTATTAAGGTTTGTTATGATACAATCAATATTATGATACGTAATAAATCAATATTTAGGTATTTTTTTTAATAAATTGGTCATTATCCGCTCAAGATATTCTTAAAAAAAAAATAGCTCTCATATTGGTTATTTTACCAATTTGTCCTCTTAACTTGATCTCTTTTCTAGTCACCCTTATAAAGCTTTTCTATCTCACCCTCGACACCAAATCCAAAATCTGGCGACCTCCTCCTCCGACTCGCTCCGAGCCACACCTGCACCGCCGTACGTACAATGGCTCTATTGGCGACACGCTTGAAAGCTCTCTACTTCTCACTAGCCTTCTCGTTCGGCGCCATTTTGATCTGGACTCTCTACACCGACGGCAACCCCGCACGGTTGGAGATCTATAAGCCGTAAGTCGCCCGGCCGGCCGCCGCCTTTTGATCGAGCTCCTTGAGTTTGTTTGTTTTGTCTTTCTTCAGTACGTACGTACCCTATTTATTATAACTGATCATTCGATGAACACGTACCTCAAGTTTTTCCGATCCTGTTGGTTTTTGCATTACACAGATGGTTGCGCGCCGCAGTAGCTGCGTTAGAGATCAACTGTTTCACTTTTTCGGTATGATTGTTCAGTTTTAGTTTCCCTTGCCGATGTTAGGATGCAGTATTTCAAATACTGGAGTTATTGAAATTAAATGGCTTTTCACATAGTCATTTCTTTGATTCTCTCTTCAAATCTCATATGAGAGTAGATTTAAAAAATGAATTAGTATGTAATATTTCAACAACCCAAATTTCTGAAACTAACTATTAGTTCTTGACGACCCGCTCTCTTTCAATTAGATATTTCGCTTCTGTTGACTCGTTCTTGAAACCTTAGTTGACAAGTTGGAAATGATGTTCTAGTGGAATAATTTTGGTTCCCAAGATGCTTTTCAATAAAAATATATAGATTCAACTGGCCGTTTATTAATAAAGTAGAATAAAAACCAATGGATATTACCGGAAATTGCTGCAATTAATTTTTTATTTATACATATATGTAATAATATTTATGTATTTTAGCAGTTTAGATGGTAGTAGACAATTTTAGCATGGAATTATCGAATTCCTCTTATAGTATCTAAATAAAGAAAAAAAAAATGTATATCACTCTTATAAAAAAAATCAGCTTATTCAAATCGTAATGATATTGTAATCTAATAGTTAGCTGTTGGTATCAATAATTAAGTCATATATTTTGCATTCGTTTCATTTTTCTAGAAACAAAAACTTCAGCTTATCTAATTAGAACATGCACTCTCATTTCAGCTTTGGATAATCTACAAGGAGTCCAGCTATGCAGTTTCAGCAATTTGGATATTTATTTTGTTCTGGACTGCCGGGTAATGTTGTGTTTTGGTTATTATTAGCTCTTTTCTTCCGGCTTTTCAGAAATCGAGCTTATAGAGGTGCTTGGTTCTGCTTTAACTTTTGAAGTTAAAAAACACTTTTAAAAATCTGGCCAAACATAGGGAATATGATCTTATGCTTGGTTTCTCCCGATAATAATAATAATACGCTCAGCTCACAAAAATCGTGATTTCACGTAAATTGGTAAAATCACTAAAATCCTATAAGTTTTTGAAGCATGATATTTTTTATGTCCTTTATTATTATTATTATTATTATTATTATTATTATTATTATTATTATTATTATGTTGTTGTTGTTGTTGTTGTTGTTGTTGTTGTTGTTGTTGTTGTTGTTATTGTTGTTGTTGTGTTCACCATTAATTACCGTATGTGCAGGATGGGGATTTCCATCTACATCTTTATTCAGCTTCTCAAGTTGTCACCTGAAGAATGTGCAGAAGACCCTATCTACCATGTGCTATTGCGGCATGAACACAAGTAATAAACAAATTTGCTCCCTCCCAAGTCTGAGAATCTTGTCGAGTACCGATCGATCGTGATCCCCTTAACTTGAATATAGGAGGTGTGAGGAACAGAAGGCGACCGGGAAGAGGTGTGGTCTAGTGGTTGCTGCAACAAGAATTGCTTACCCCATTTTGGGTTGTTTGCTGATAGCAACTATAGTTTACGCTGCGATGACCGATGGTTCTCCTCTTCGCAAACAGATCTACCAGGCCCTGTAAGTAAGTACATAACATACATGCTTGTCAGCTTGTGTTGTGTCTCTCTCGCTCTGATCGATCTAGTACTGTTATTTTTTATATATATGTTGCCGGCCGTTGATGAACTGATGCGATCATCAATCAATCTACTGCATGCTGTACGTACCTGGCCTGGTAGGTGGCTTAAGACAACAATGGTCGACATCTATGTTAACATTGTGGCTCTCTTGGTAAGTCCCAAATTAAATGATTCTTTCTTGTCCAGCCTGATCAGCTCTTCCTGTCTGTCTGTCTTAAGTTTAAGTTTGGTTTCTGATCATGGTTTTCATTCTGTTCCCAAATAGGTGTGGGTTGTGTACAAGGAAACAAGTTGGTTGAGTGCTTCCCTATGGATACTTGTATTTGTATGTTTTAGCAGGTAATTTTCTCCTCTCCTCTCCTCTCCATCTCTGTTATGTGTTTTGTTTTTACTGGTTTATCATTCGTATGTTTTAGAACCATCAAAATCACATACACCGGTCCGGTATGCTGGTCTGATTCTCTTCTCTTCTCTTCCTCTGCAGTTTTGCAACTTGTGCTTACATGATAAAAGAGTTGTATCACCTCAGTTCTCAAGGACCAATGTACCTAGTCTTGTTGAGGCAAAACAACAACAGGCCTCACAGTGCCAGCAGGCTTCCTCTCCTCGGTTAAATTCAATCCACCCGCCGCTCAGGTCAGCTCAGGGGTAGTGTCAAATATAATTGACGCGGGAGGGGGAAAAAGAACACGCAAGCTAGCTAAGGGTTTGATCGCTGATTGTTGTTCTAGCTCTTATTTACTACTCTGCTGTTTTGTAATTTTGATTTTTCAATACCAGAAGATCACTCTTCATTTCAGTCCAAAAAAGCACCAAGTATTTTTTTTTTTTTTTTTTGATAATGGTGATTTTATTAATGAGAAGCAAAACAGAAAGAAGGCACAACCCGGGAAATGGTTCAAGAGGAAAGAACCAGGATCCCAAGCAAACCAGACCGCAAGACAAGTAAAAGAAGAAGACAGAAAATAAAATGAAACAGAGGAAGAATGGAGAAATGGCTAAACGGACTGGGAACCGTTCCTGCCAATCAACAAAAGAAAGAACAGCAAATCAGACCGAACTGACCCTGCTGTAAACCAACTACAATCAACAGACAAACAGAAAGTACGCCAGAAAGCAGACAATCAAGGCATTAAAACTAGGATAAGAACTCAGCAAGCCAAGCAACCGCATGCTCCTTGTCGATCTTGTGATGAGCAGTAAGCCAAACCACAACCATCTTGACTGATTTTCGAGCAATGATCTTGGCGGTAGTACCAGAATTTTTGAACATCCTCTGGTTTCTCTGTAACCAAACTGACCAAAATAGAGCATGAAGAATACTGATATTGAACCATTCATCCATACTGATGGGGGACAGTGAAGGTCTATTGCCAATGACAGCAGAAACATCTCCATGCAAATTGCCAATGTAGCTCTTCTTCCTCTTGATAAAACTCCAAGTATCCTGTATAAATTCGCATTTGGTGAAGATGTGATCAGCATTTTCTTCCTCCTTGTAGCAAAGGGTGCAGCGATTAGCAAGGTGCGTCCCTCTTCTCTTAACAACGTCTAAAGTGGAGATCCTTTTAAGCCAAAGAGTCCATATGAAGAAACAAATCTTGCTGGGAATGAAGGGCTTCCAAATATATGACGCCTCAAAGTTCTGGAATCCATGGAATTTCTCAATGGTAAGCTGTTCATATGCAGAGCTGACAGAAAAACCTTTTTCCTGATTCGGAATCCAAGTGATCCTGCAAGGACTGTTAGGAGCAAGATGCACATTTCTAGAATTTAAGAATAACATAAGTCTCTCTCTTTCTCTCTCCGCTCCCCCTCTCAAGCTAACTCTCAAGTTAATATTCCAGGTTACCTCATTGTCAGTGAAGGAGGCTATGTCGCTGATCCGAGCGGCAGGTTCGATAGCAGCAGCAGCAACTCTTGGGTAGTCAACAGCGAGGATCGAGGTCGACGACCAATTATCGTACCAGAAAGAGATGTGCCCTCCACTTCCTGGTTCAATGAGAGTGTATTTCCAGAATAGATTGTATTCTTTTGCAATATTAGCCCACACAGAACTTGAATATCCAGAACTTATCCGAGCAGTCTGCCAGTGGGAAAGGTCATTCGGATATTTCGTATTTATCAATTCCCTCCACCAGCTATTCTTCTCAGTAGCAAACTTCCAAAGCCACTTCACTAATAAGGCGGAATTGAAGCAAGTAAGATCTCGGATTCCTAATCCACCTTTAGCTTTAGGAGTCTTGCAAAGATCCCAGTTCACAAGTGGAGATTTCCGACTATCATTGTTACCATTCCAAATAAAGTCTCTCTGTATAGCTTCCATGTCTTCGATTACTTTCTTAGGAGCTTTGAGAAGAGAAAAGTAGTAGACAGGAAGACTGGTGAGAGCTGACTTATTAAGGGCAAGTCTTCCTCCTGTTGATAAATACTTGCTTTTCCACCCTTCAAGTTTCTTCTTGAATTTAGCTATAATAGGCTCCCATATTGATGATGCATTAGGCTTCGCTCCAAGAGGATATCCAAGGTATTTAGGAGGATTCGCGCTCCATTTGCAACCAAAAATATTAGCATAGAAGCTAGGCTCTGGGACATCTCCAACAGTATACATTACTGATTTCTCCAGATTAATCTTTAGTCCAGTAACTGCTTGGAAGCACACCAGAGTGGACAAGATGTTGATAACCTGCTCGTGGGAAACATCGCAGAATATCAAAGTGTCGTCCGCAAATAAAAGATGTGTCACTTCCCCTTGTTGAAGTCTTTCATTCATGAAGAAACCACTGATTTTGTTCTCAGCTTTGAGTTTAGATAGCATGAATGAAAGAACATCCATAACCAGAACAAAGAGAGCTGAGGAGATGGGATCCCCTTGTCTGAGACCCTTAGACGCTGGAAAATAGCCAAAAGCTTCTCCATTAACCAGAACAGAGATGAGAGGGGAGCAAACAGCCTTTTTCAACCATCTTATCCATAAATCAGGAAAACCAAACTTACTCAGAATCTTGAAAAGACATCCCCAATTGACATTGTCATAGGCCTTCTCAATATCGAGTTTGAACATAAGACCAGGCTTCCTGCTTCTTCTCCTGCTATCCACCAGCTCATTGGCAATGAGACCAGCTTCAGATATTTGTCTCCCCTTCACAGCAGCTTGTTGATGAACAGACACTAAATTAGGAAGGATGTTACTCAATCTCCTTGATAAAACTTTGTTGATCAGTTTATTGAAGCTTCCCATTAACCCAATTGGTCTTAAGTCCTTGACATCTTCAACAGCGTCCTTCTTCGGGACCAAGCAGATGAAAGAGTGCGAAGCTGTCTTAGGAAGCTGGCAAGAAGCATGAAAATCCACAAATACATTGACAATGTCGGGTTTAATCATCATCCAACATCTCTTATAGAAGTCAAAAGCACCAAGTATTTCTTTTCATATTGTTAATGTCATGTTATTACTTAAAAAAAAAGGCAAAATAAGTATTTCTTTTCATAATGTTGAATGTTGATGTCATATTATTAGTTAAAAAAGAAGGGTTAATACCTTAGTTTGGCCCGAACTATACACAAGCTTTTTACTTTGGCCCGTGGTTTCCGAAATTGCAATCTTGACCTAAACTATGTAGCATGCTTCCTAACTTGGCCCAGAGCCGAGTTTGACCGTCAAAATGAACGGTAAACAAAGTTGACCGTTTGTTTATGGCCAGCTCAAGCGACCAAAAAATAAAATATTTTTTTTTACTCCCACAGCGTCGTTTTCTACTCCCGCATAAATAGATTTTCAGTATCAGATTTTTAGAAATGGTTTCTCAGAAGCTGGCAGCTTCCTTTTCAACATATTTCGTATTTTGTTGCCAAAATCACAAAAAAAAAACCAAATGGAAAGTGAACTGGGCCTAACTCTCGAACAAAAGCAGTTGGTTAAGGAGTAGAAATCTGTTCTTTCCTCTCGTAGGGGTGGGCATCGGTCGATTCGGTTCAAGACCAGATCAAACTATCCTCGGATCGGACCAAAATTTCTTCTAAATCAAGGACCAAAGTCGAATCGTTCTTACTTCGATTCGGTCCGGATCAAACCATATATGACTCGATTCGGTCTGGACCATCCCATTGGACCGACTAATCTTTCATTAGAATAAAATCACTCTTAAAGGACAACACAACAATTAAAAAAATATAACTACATAAAAAGAAGCAATCAAATTATCCCAATTTAAATACTCCACAATTCTTAAAACCCACATGTTCCAAAATATTATGCAAAAAGCTAAACGAGAGCTACTTAACTAAAAGACAAAAGTCTTTTTATTCAATCTCAAAGTAGTCTAACTAATTGCCTCTCTAATCTTCCATTTTCATTTCCAGAGTGCACGTTGGACCTCCCAATCTCCATAATTTCCACTGTTCATTAGAAAGGAGTTTAACAAAATGACACGTACTCCAAGAATTAGTGCAATAAAACAAATGATTCTTAAACTTGCTAATTTGCTATGGTATTGTTAGACTTGGCAGAAGCTTATGTGGTGTCATTTATTCGCATCTTCTCCATATCTGAAACATTAAACAAGAAAAGAGAACATAATATAAATACATGGTTCACAGTGTGTAGGTAAAGTAAGCAGCTCTCTTGATCGAAGCAACGTGGATGAGAACTCTGATTAGAGGGTAGGACTATAGGAGCCGGAGCGGCGAGTCAAAACCAGGTAAAGTCAATCATATTTATAGGTAATTAATTGGCATTTAGGGTACTATGGTTTTCAACTCCAAGTCGACTTTCCTTCTCAGAGCCTAATAAAATAGGCAATTGATTTAATTACGATTTGGTTCGGTCCTTAGTTTGATTTATGGTTTCGATCTGGACTGAACCAAAACCGAAAATGTTCCAAATTCAGGAACCAAAATCGAATTGAAAGATAAACAGTTCGATCTGATTCGATGTGAGAGTCGATTCGGTCCGATGTGAATCGAATCGTTGCCCACCCCTATCCTCTCGGCCCATACTCTGGCAGAGCAAAGGTTGGCCCACATTTCTTCCTTCAGCACTTCGTTTATTTTTTAAGCTTCTTTCGGTTGGGCTTACCCGCAGGTAAAAAAGAAATAAAGAAAAGAAAAAACAGGGGCCACGCCGCCGGCCGCGGTAAACGTAAACGTCAACCTAGATGTGGCTTCGGCCATGAGCTGGTTGACCTTCAAGAGCACGTTTGGAGCTGACGGAGGAAACGCTTTCCGGTCTGATGGCCGATATTTCGGATGCCCTTTCAGGCTTTCAGAATCTCCGAGCTTTTCCCATCACTCAGTTCCCTTCCTGGGCCGACCGGCCGGGTTCAAAGCTCATCAGCTCACCAGGATGCATCGTGTGATGATCGATGCGTTGCTTGAAGACAGGCCCGGCCCAGACCCTGTGCTGGTCAGACCCATAGGGCCTCAAATATTTGGGGCCTCATAATCAAGCCCATTATATTAAACGAGATTGGATTGGCTGTGCTCCGCAGCAGGCCACGGTAAAATTAGGCTCCTTTATTAATCCTCAAGCCTGCTATTACCAAACTTTCCGGAGAAGGTTAGCCCTCAGCTAGGGCTGCAAACGAGCCGAGTCGAGTCGAGTTTTTGCTTAGCTTGAGCTCGGCTCGTTTATTAATTTTTCAGCTCGAGCTCGGCTCGAACTCGAATTTTGATAATCCAGCTCGAGCTCGAGCTCGGCTTGAATAAAAATAATCTAGCTCGAGCTCGACTCGGTAGAGCTCGATAAATGCTCATTAACATAGCTTGTTAAGCTGAGTACAAGCTCGGCTCAAGATGAGCTCGATTTAAAATCATTTTTGCTGGAAAAATGTATAAACATAAGAATTTAAATGATAGAAAGAACACTAGAAACTAGAAATAACATCTAAATTTCATACACATCTGTATTATAAGACAATGTTCATGTTTAAAAGAGTAATTCATCCTTCCACAAGCTCAAAACAAGGCAGCTCGCGAGCTTAGCTCGACAAGCCACCGAATCAAGCTAGCTCGCGAGCTTATCAAGCTGAGCATGGTCTAGCTCAGGCTTGGCTCGTTAACTAACGAGTTGGCTCGCGAGCCGGCTTGTTAAATAACGAGTCGAGTGTCGAACGAGTTTTTTCCGATTCGAACGCCGAGTTGCTCGCGAGCGGCTTGGCTCATTTGCAGCCCTACCCTCAGCCCACCACCCACACGTTGGAAAAAGTAACCCGATTAAACAAATTAATTCTATTTAATTCAATTATACAGTGCTGATGTAAAGTGTAAACATTATAAATTTTCGCGACTTATCTTACCAACCATATTTTACAAATGCACGAGTACAATATGTACCTGCTAGTTCTTTTCTTTATGTTTCGTTCTTAAATTCTAATCTCTTTTATTCTTTTTATTTTTTGGCAGGGATCTTAATTTTGATTGGAACTTTGGAATCATTCATCTTTGGTTATAATTTTTAATTATGTCAACTACAAAATTTGAGTCACGTTGTTCCAAGCAAAAAAAATGGAGCAATCGTGATATTTACTTATTTTTATTTCAAATAATATGAGACGCATGTTATTTTTAAACAATAATAGATGAAATTATTGCTTTTGTAATAATTTTAAGTACTTATGTCTTTTTATTATTATTTAATAATTTTAATTTTTATAAATTTACGAAAAAATTTTAGGGCCACATTTTTAATTTTTGAACAGGGCCTCCAAATATAATGGGCCGGCTCTGCTTAAAGAGATATTGCGAACATAAGGACAGAAGTAGAAGAGAAGGTGGTGGCGGACTAAGCAAAGGAGGTGTCATTGATGGTCGCCAACCTCAGGATCTAGTCGATATCCTTTTAGATCTTTAGGACAAGGTGACCAGCAAGCACACTTGACCATGGAAGCCATCAAAGCAGACGATACAGAAACCACAGCCACCACGTACGGTGGAATGGACCATGTCCAAAATGATGAAGAATCCGAGCATAATGTATGAGGCACAGAAAGGAGACGGTTCTTCAGTGGTGAAGCAATGTTGGCGAAAAGAGTCTTCATGATTTGAAGTACTTGGATGTTATCATACAATAGAGTTTAAGATTGTATCCGTCACTTTCTTTACTTGTTGTTGTTGTTGTTGTGAGAGAAAAACCCCGGAGAATGTTGAGGTTGATGAGCATGAGATTCCTAAAAAAACTAAAATTATGGTCAATACTTGAACTATCACAAGAGACTCGTACCCGAGAAATACATATCCAAGACGTTTTTTGTGTTCATTTCATTTAATGTTGAAAGGAGGAGGTGTACTGGCATGTTATTTGTTATATGGCCATCTTCAAACTTGTGTTAGCTAATTTGCTTTACTATTTTGATTGGAAGCTCCTTGCTGAGATGACATCCGAGAGTTTGGACATGACGGCACATTTTGGACTTGGAGTGAGAAGAAAACAAAATTTGTGTTTGATTCCGGTTAAGTACAATGTAATGTGTCGAGAAGGCCATTGATCTGATTGAGCCATAGTGGAGTAGAGGGAAGTGCCGTTTGTTTGGTGGCTTTGGGTCTATACCATCATGTTTTGATTTATTTGTGACCCAAAAGGAAAAATAATGTCTCTCCATATGAATAACATCATTTGATGAAATAAGATGATAGTAGGATAAGGAAGAGATAATATGACACAGAGGAATTTCAGGTAGGTAGCTAGTAGCTAATTCCCTTGTCTCTGGCCCTTGGTAGCTTGACCTGAACTGAGAAGAGGCTCTCTGGCAGCTCTGTTGTTGTGTTTCAACAAAACTAAGTAGGCTGGATCTTGAGAAGTGAGTTGACACAGCTGTTTTATCATGTAAGCACCAAAAGCAAGACTGCAGACAAAGAGAAAAGGGAAGAAAATTTAAGACATAGCATTCAAGTACGCTATGGATCACTGCAAACAAGCAATGAAAAAGGGAAGTTGAATTACCTGCCAAGACATATGAACAGAACCATCCACAGGGAAACACTCAACCAACTTGTTTCTTTATAGGCAATCCACACCTAGATTGAGAAGTGGAATGAATGAATGAATGAATGAATAGATACACATACATGATATGAATTAACCCTGATTGAGAGATTGATCACTTACCAGAAGAACCACAGAGAGGTAACAGTGGTCGATCAGTGTTGTTATCACCCACCTACGTTTGCATATATATGTTCATTCAATTTGCAGATTTAATCACAACCCAGTGATTCAATAACGAAAGTGACTTTGACATGGAGATCTTACGGGGCGAGGAAGACCTCCTTACGGAAAGGAGAACCAGCAGCGAGAGCAGAGTAAAGCAGAGTTGCAACCATCAAACAAGTCAATACTATGAAGCCAGTTGTTGCAACCCCCACTGAAGCAGACTTCTTCTTGCCCTTTTCTTCCTCGTTGCTCCTACAGAGGAAAGAGACGTCTCAGTCTCGGATATCTTAATAGTTGCTTTTAAGAGTCGGAAGAGAATTAGAAGCTCACTTGTGTTCATGGCGCAATAGCACATGGTAGATAGGGTCTTGTGCAGATTCGTCAGGTGACAGCTTGAGGAACTGAATGAAGATGTAGCTGCAAATCGCCGTGCTGTATGTAGATATATGCATGGTGAACAAACAGAAAGTACATACAACTTTAAGAAGAAAAACATAACTCTGTCAAATTACATAACAATACTGGTTATACTCATACTCTAATACTATCGATCTAGCTAATAACAGGAAAAACAACCACCAGATCATGTGGATCTATCAGATCAAGAATGTTCAGTCACCAACACAAGACAAAAGAACATGTACCAGCCAAATCCAGTACTGTATAATTGAAGCATGGTAGCTCACAAACTTACCAGCCAGTCAAGAATATGAGAAATGTCCAAATTGCTGAATGCACAAAGTTGGGTTCCTTGTAGGCAATCCAAACCTGAAACGTAACAGAGAGAGAGAGAGAGAGAGCATCTGTCAGCCCACCTGTAACAGTAGTGTTTATGGATTGCGAAAGAGGAAGGAGGAGAGATGATCTGAATATATATGATCTATCTCTCTCAACGGCTAACAAGACTAGAACAGTTCCAGCATCCGAATTCATCACAGGAAGCCAAGGTAAGAACCCAGCTGAAAGAAAGAGAGCAACAGAGAAAACAGAGCTCTAATTACCGCCAAGTAGGACATGTGGATGTAGATCTCAATGAAAGAGGCACACGACCATCTGCGTATTCATTGGAAGAGCAAGCAAGCACAAACACCAAAATACTTAATTAATCAGGCGGCCGGCGTTAGCTAGAGTACCGTTAGTTAATTAAGTAACCTGATCGATCTGCTAAACTAACAAGGCAAATTAATTAAGGAAAAGTAATAGCTAGCTAGTGCATTACGTACGTGGTGTAGGTCTCCTTGGTGAAGGGTGGATGGGCGTAGTAACAGTTGAAGATAACGGGGCCGAAGGTGCAGGCTTGGACCAAGAACAGAGTCCTTAAGCCGCCGCCACTTCTCAGGAGACCCATCCTACAACCAGTTCCGGTCCGGCGGTGAGAGAGAGAGAGAGAGAGAGAGAGAGAGGGGAATAATGGCCAAGCCCAATCATCGGCTGCCGCTTTTATATTGTATTGTATTGTGTTTGTTTGTTATTTATTTATTTTTGCACTCACTTTTTTTCCGGTAATTATTTTGCGCTCACTTTTTTTATAGTTACCATTTTCTCCCGACTCAAAATTACTTCACTTTTATATTGTACTGCAATGAACATAAAAATAAATGAATTTGTGTAAAAATTATTTACAATTTTACTTGGTATGTTAACAGGGCTCTAAAATCTGAATTTCTATTTAACGCCCTAAATTTTTAAATAAATCGCCCTAAATATAATGAATGGACGATTTTGCCCCCAACATTAAGCGCCCTTTCTTCAATTAATTGAATATAGATTTACGCCCTAATGACATTCTGTCTTCCGCGGCCAGCCGCCCTCTCCCTTCACCGACTTCGTCGCCGCCTTCTATCTTCCACTGCATCGCCACCGCAATATGCTTCATCTCGCCTCCGCCCTCTGTCGCACCCCGCAGCGCCGAGACCCTCTGTCTTCCCCGGTAGAGTCGCCCTATCCACCACTTGTTCTTCTTGGTCGAAGGTTCTATCACCATCTCTCAAACCTCTGTCGATCTTCCCTTCCATAACTGCATCCGAACCAGGCGCCATTCTGTCATTTTTACTATGTTAATAATCAAAGACAATGCCCAAATTGATTCCACTATAGCACCCAGGTAATACAAGCGTTTACCTTAAAGGCCGACCACCTCCGGTTTCGCTAGCCGGTGACAATGAAAATGGGGTAGCCATAGTTGTGGACAACTGCCGCCGCTTAGCTTCGTTTGAAATTTAGAATAGGGGTAAATGTATCTATTTTAAATTTAGGGCGATAAAATTTGAAAATCTAGGGCGACGAATAGTAATTATGAACGAAAATCTATGAACGAAAATACATGGATTAACTATTTTCAATTTTATATAATTTATTTGTGCTTATGTTATGGTGTTAATACTCAATTTGTTAGTATGGTGCTAATATGACTAGCTAACTAGAATATTTTGTTTTTTTATTTTTTTTTTATTCTTAAGGATTCACCACAAGTTCCATGAATGATTAGTATGTACACTAATTATCATAGTACTCATAATATTAATGTTAACACTAAGTTTACATAAAGCCAAAATGTCGAGAATTAAAGGTTCAAAATGTAATCATTAAAATATGTACACTCATTTTGTAAGTGTAACATACAATGCATCATATCACGGGCGCACTTGCCGTATATAGATAGGAACCATGATAAAAGATGAAAATGGATAACCCCTTTTTAGTAATGAAAAGTAGGTAACCCCAATTAAACAAAACGAAACAAAACAAAACACAAAGGAATGTTTGGATTGCGGTCCAGCGCATGCCCACTCATGATTCCAGTTATGGACAAATTATTTAAAAAAAAGAAAGATTCCGAAAAAGATTGCAGATTTGCTACCTAATTAATTAACTATATTTATCAATACATTACAAATTTAGTGATAGACATATATACATATATAAAGTTGATCGAACGCATAATCTCATTTCGGCAGAAGTTTTGTGCATAAACTGATCTGGGCTATATTTTAGAATGGACTAAAATTAAGATTTTCCATGGTATAGGTTTCTTTCTGTAAGTGGTTAGGATTAGTTAGTAAAGATGTATTAGTATCTTAATTGTAACTATCCAGAGTACCCGTTGATTAAAGTGACGAAGGTACAAAGCTCATCAACAATGACGGTATATAGTATATACCGTGCACGCTAATGAAATAAGGAAAGAAAGAGAAAGAGCGAGAGAGTCTGTTGTAACTTGTAAGTACCGAATCCTAAATCCTAATACATGTTTACCAACTAATCCTAACTACTTAAAAAAATATACTGTGAAAAATCTTAATTTCGGTCTGATCTCAATTCTAATAGCTATGCTACACATGGATGCAATCCCATATGTAATCCGCCAAAGATTTGTTGCTGGCTTTTGCAGATAGCCTTAAGAATGACAAATTATTTTATTGTAAGTTTAAGTGTAACACTTTTCAAACTTCCAGCATTTTCGGTAAATGTCGTGTTATTATAATTTTCTTGGATTTGTATAATAGCTTTCGAGTCTGTGTTATAAAATGTGTTTATGAAGATTTTAACGTCGGATTGAAGAGTCGTTTGGTCGGGACAATTATCTTTTTATTTATTTTTTTATTTTGTAAAACACCTGTATTATTTCATTATGACCAAGTAGAGCTCCTTGAGAAAAAGAGCAAAGAGATGAAAGCAAAGGACAACACAGTTTATTTCAAGCAGTACTGGAATTGATGAAACGGCCAAAGAGAGGGAGAGAGAACACAGCGGGATGGATAGAAAGGATACAGATACAGTTTCCTATCAGACCAGTAGGAAAATTAATATTACAATACAGCAGGCTAAGCTGCTTGATGGTGGTATGGGATGGGAATGATGACCAGATCGTTTTTCCTTCTCAAATCCAAGCCCAATCTTTCCTCCATGTCCAAATCCTGGGGCTTCACTCCGTTCGCGAGTTCCCAATCAAAATGATAAAGTAAATTTGCGAGTACAAGTTTAGCAATAGTAGTCCCATAATGTACACCAGGGCACATTCTTCGTCCAGCTCCGAATGGGATGAATTGAAAATGGAGGCCCTTGTAATCGGTGCAAGTATTAAGGAATCTTTCTGGATAGAAAGTTTCGGGATCGGTCCAGTGATTGGGATCACGTCCAATGGCCCATGAGTTGAATATGACCTTGGACTTAGCCGGTATTTGATATCCATCAATTACCACGGTCTCTTGATTCTCTCTTGGAACGTTTAAAGGACCAGAAGGGTGCAATCTTAATGTCTCTGTTACAACTAATTGTAGATAGTGCAACTCATGAATGCATGCTTCATCTACAATTTTTCCTTTCCCGGTAAATACCTGTCTCACCTCGTCTTGAGCTTTTTTCATGATTCTCGGATTCTTCAACATTTCTGACAATGCCCATTCTATCACGGCGTTCCATGTGTTGGTACCAGCCATTAATATGTCCTGTACGTAGTTTATACATACATAAATAAATATACGATTGGTCAAAAGAAAGATTGGGGGGGGGGGGAAACAAACTTTACACGTAATTAAGACTAATCTTCACGACAAATAAATAAACATATATGGAAAGTAATAAACAGGGCGGGCTAGGGCTACTCACGAAGATGACAGATTTAATCTCAACGTTGGTGAAGGGGAATCCGAGATCGTTGTTCTCCTTGAGATTCAGAAGAAAATCAACCAGATCTTCTTCTTCTTCTTCATCATCGTTCTTGGCCGCTGATGATCTCTTTGCTTCATGGTCGCTGATTATGGTTTCAAGGATGGCATCCACAGCGGCGTGGAGCTTCTTGAGCTCGGCGTGGGCTCCCGTGAGACGCCGCAGCAAGTCGCTGGAAGGGAACATGTCGACGAGGTTGAACCCTCCCAACGCCTTCATCAGCTGTTTGGTAAGCGAGAAAAACAGCCCGACTTCCTCCTGTCTCACAGCGCTCATCCCCAGGACCACGCGGGAATTAACGCAACTCCCCAGGTCGAACAGCACCACGCTGAGGTTGATGGGCTCAGCAGCAGCAGCAGCAGCACGAGTTTCGGCGACCAGCTTGCTGACCTCTTGCTCCATGGTGGGCTGGAGGGACTTGACCCGTGTGGCGCCCAGCAAGCCCATATTGCAAACCTTCCTCATCTGCCTCCAGTACTCGCCGTAGGGCGTGAACCCCATGTCCCGGCCGCCGTAGAATATGATGCGAGCGGCCGGCAGGAGGGGCCTGTCGAGGAAGTGGACGTCGTGGGTTTGCAAGAACAGCTTGGCCCATTCGGCCGAGGAGACCACCACGATCGGGACCTCCCCGAACCGAAGGCGCATCAGGGGGCCGTGTTGCTTGGCCAGGTCCCTCAGCCGCCGGTGTGGGACCGACGATCCAATGGCCATCTGGTGCAGGTTCCCGATCACGGGTAGCGCCCATGGTCCAGGAGGTAGCCGGGCAGCTGGTTGAGACGAGTACTTTGACGGCCTAATTAATTTCAATATTGATGATATGAATATGATGAGAAGAGTAGTAGTGACGAGTATTGTGAAAGAGATAGTGATCATGGCCATGCTCGACCAAGGGACAACCTCAATTCCTCCTCCTAGTGTTTTCTCCATTCTTATAATTACCACCTATCGAGTGAGTGTAAGTTCCAACAATTATATATAATAAGCCGTGGGACGGGGACAGGTTACGGTGATTACTACTTATGTAGTAGTAGTAATCACCGTGGTTACTAAGGGTAAATTGTGTATGAAAAATAAATTGTATTAATTAATTTTTTTAATAAATTACATTTTAGGTAGTTACAAGAATCTATTAATTACAATTCTCCCTCTTTCTCTCACTTCCATAATCTTCAGCCAAATCCATTTTCCTTATTTTTCTCAATCTTTATGCAAAAGAAAAAAAAAACACGAAATCACTACCAATCCATTAGATAATCACTACCACTTTGAAAAATATCAATACCATTGTAGAAATAAATCTATACCATTACACTAAAACTACCAATATAAACAATCTACCAATATAAATCTATACCATTTCACAAAAACTAATACCATTGCAGATTGAATCCATACCAATACATGCAAATTAATACCATTACATGATAATCAATACCAATGCGACAAAAATAATACCAATGCAAAAAAACACTACCACTACGAAAAAATCACTACCAATGCGGGGAAAAAATCAGATCTAGGGTTTTTATTCATCCCACCTTTTGGAGAAGGGAGAGACGGCGGCAGTAAGCAATCGACTCAATAGTAATCATCGGGTTAACCCCCACCGTCGTCGGAAGAACACTTCCATCACACACAAACAGATCCTCCGCCTCCCAACTCTCTCCATTCTCATCCACCGCTCCTTCCTCTTCATTCTTCCCCATCCTGCAGCTCCCCATTTGATGCGAAGAAGTATACATCATCCACTCCTTCTCCATCACCCCATTCGAAGCCATCGCGCCGTCGACAAATGCGGAAAAAAATGGCAGGCGGAGTGATGCCGAGGGGGTGAGAGAAGGGAGAGACGGCGGCTGGGTAGATAGGTTCTACTAGGGTTTGAGTATAATATATACAGTAATCAGGTGTGGTATGTTTTTCATTTCCTTAATTACCCTTAGCTAATCTTAATCGTTAATGTAAAAATATAATAAAATAAAGATAATGAATGGTATAGATGTTGGTAGCCACCGTGATTACTCAAAATTGAGTAACCACCCTAACCTATTCCCCGTGGGACGACTGAGAACGCAAGCGCGGGAGGGAGGGTGAAAACGCTTTTTTGATTTTCAAGATATTTCAATACTGTGCTTAGTAAGATTCATTCTTTCAACGAAAACATTAATTATAGGACATTCGCGCTTCGAAGGGAATAACTATCCTATATACATTTACTAACAACTTGAATTATTGAAACTGGGATGATCAATTGATTCATGACATGTTATCAAAGCTAATTTATTTTTAAGATGGTCCTAAAACACTTGGTATGGCGTTTTGGGGAGGGCTTTGCTACCCATTAATACACTAGTTGTATACATGGGAACCAGGAAGAGGAGTAGAGAAAAAGATACAGGTTTGATCAAAATACAAACTCGCATTCTGTCACAATACAAACTCAAAATACTTTACATGTAATTATTATGACCTATCCACCATCCTCCTTCCCTCTCTAGCGGTCATGCCAATGACTTTTTGAAGCCCGAAAAATGGTTGCCCGATTCTAAAAGGTCGGCTGGTAAAAATTTCACAACCTTGATAAATCAAACCTTTATTAAAAAATAAATACAATAATAATTAAGCAACACATACAAGTCAGGACCTGATCTGTATAACTTTATTTGCGTTCCAGCTACACATTCTCCATCATGATTCCCGGAATAGAAACACACAAAGAAAGGAAAGCAAAGATTCCAGGACAAATAAGAGTGGTTGCCGACACTGAACACTGATAATTAATTAATTTTATTATCATTAGCAAGTGGTACAGTTGGACCAAAGCCAAGATTTTTGCTTCTCCCATAGGCCATAGCTATAGCTAGTTAGTTTTCACATGGATGAGCTAGCTACCAGGCCGAGAACATGCTGCTCCTGAATTTTATTAAAACATTCAGCTTTATAAAAAAAAAAAATAGCAGCCTGTAACTTGAGAATTGATATCGAATGAATTAAACTTATTAGCGGTTTACAACCGCAATGGCGCAGTTCAGGATTAACCGGACCGCGAATCACAAGCCGTTATTTAAATAGTCAGACCACATCCTTTTTCAGCCGCGAATCACAATCCACCTGCTGTCTCCAATTGAGAATCATTTAGCCACTTTCCCCTTTTTCGGCCGCTTTAGCTATAGCTGTGTAGAAACAACTCTGCACATTCCATTCTTTCCCTCTTTTTTGTTCTTCCTCCATTCTTCCATTCCTTCGCCAGATTATCCAATAAAGATCCACCTTACAACTGCTGAATTCTGGTGTGAAAACTCATGTTCCAACGACGGGAGTGAATCCATAAGACCACCGCCGGCGAACCATCGGCCGCTATCTTCTCTACAGAAATAAGAGATTTGATTTTTCTTTTAATATTGAAATTGGTAAAACGTGTATAATATAAGGAGATGGTTCATGAACCAGAACCACCACTTCATCTATCTGGGAATTAATTAAATAGTCTGAATCAGCGCCGGAAGATCATCACTATCCTTCCACGCACAAAGTAGGATGGATTTTTACCTTATAATTTTAATATTAATAAAATAACACATGCATGTCAGTCAAGCATTGGAGCGGTGCACAGTCTAGTGGTATGCCGGTTGCACCCAAGAATTCTCTCGATTCTCTAACTTCAATAAAAGGGAAACTAATGATATATACGAATAAATAATTATGGGGCTTGCTATTTGCCGCCAACCAAATTGCTATTTACCGTCAACCAAAAAAAAAAAGTATATATATGCATCTTTGGTTAAGGAGTTTCACAAGCTACAACATATCCAACTTTCAGAGAACGTATTTAATCAGAAAAATTCAACGCTCGCCGGAAAAGTCGCCTTAAAAGTCGCCGGAAAATCATCGATGAAAAAAAATGTATATATATACATCTTTGGTTAAGGAGTTTCACAATCTACAACATATCCAACTTTCAGAGAACGTATTGAATCAGAAAAATTCAACGCTCGCCGGAAAATCATCGGGAAAGCCTATCCTCGACATATAATGCGTACACGCATCCATGAATCATCACTAACCATCAGACAATGTGGGCAAAGTGCTACACGAACCATGTGTTTCAAACCCTAAACCCTAAACCCTAAGTGAACCCTGAACCCTAAACCCTTTGTTGATGTGACTTGAATCGGACTATCAGCCGCTACGGTGTATGGGCTCAATGTTATTTGGGTTCGGGTTCTGGGCCTGGTCTGTAACCGTTTCCTTTGTCATATTGGATTAGGTTTAGACCCACATGGAGAAGTACTATAAATACTTCGTGTTAGTGAACCACGTAAATCGTGTGTCGTGTTGCAATGCTCTATTTATATGTTGTTGTTTTTCTAGTTGTATTTTTAATGACCCTAGTGTCATTATGAACTTATGAATTTCATTATGGATTTCTAGCGAGTTCGGGGTCGATTGGACGAAGATCGGGCGCGAGGCAAGTCAATCGTCGGTCGCCGACACCGTTCTTCCGTCGTCGGCTAACCTCCCGTCGCCCTCAATCGTCGGAAAACAAGATAGTTTACTTTTTCCGGCCAGTTTTCCAGTTTTCCGGTAAGTTTTCCAGTTTTCCGGCGAAAAACACGGAGGGCCGAAAAAAAATTGCGGCCCGAACGTCGCCGAGCCAAAAAAAATTTGTGGCCGGGACGACGGCCGGCCGAAAAATTCTTTCGGCCCGGCGACGCCACGGCCGCAAATTTTTTTCGGCCGGCCGACGAACACGCCGCCGGAAAATTTTTGGCCGGCGTGTTCGGCGACCGGCCGAAAAAAATTCTTTCGGCCCGACGTCGCTCCGGCCGCAAATTTTTTTCGGCCGGCCGACGAACACGCCGCCGGAAAATTTTTGGCCGGCGTGTTCGGCGACCGGCCGAAAAAAATTTGCGGCCGTGGCGTCGCCGGGCCAAAAGAATTTTTCGGCCGGCCGTCGTCCTGGCCACAAATTTTTTTCGGCTCGGCGACGTTCGGGCCGCAATTTTTTTCGGCCCGCCGTGTTTTTTGCCGGAAAACTGGCCGGAAAAAGTAAACTTACTTGTTTTCCGACGATTGAGGGCGACGGGAGGTTAGCCGGCGACGGAAGAACGGTTCCGGCGACGGAGGCACTGGGAAGGAAGGGAAAATTCAAAATTAAATTTTTTTTTTTTTTACCGGCGACGGAGGCACTGGGAAGGAAGAGAAAATTCAAATTTTGAATTCCTTTTTTTTTTTTAGTTGGCGGCAAATAGCAATTTGATTGGCGGCAAATAGTCGTTCACATAATTATATGCCTAATCCTAATCTGTTAAACATTTTTAGGCAAGATAATGGAACGTGTTAGGATGGTTACTAAAATTCTAGTAGCCACCTTGGTTACATCAATATCCACCATTCATTTTTTTTCTTTTTCCTATTTTTTAATCTCACGATTATGATGGCTCGAAAATAATTTTGGAAACAAAAAAGAAACCGCACTGGATTATTCTATATATACACAAACCCTAATTCTACCCTCTCCTCCTTCCAGCCAAACCCATGTTGCCGGCCACCTCTCTCCTCCCCCGCCCCAGGCCCCGGCCCCCTCCACCCGCCGTCCCCACCCATCGTCACTACTCACTACCTACCAACTCTGCCAAGAATTCTTGTTTGATCAATAAAAAACCTTTCCCCCATGTCCCTGCCTCCTTCCTCCTCCACCCTCCTTCCTATATATATATAGAGAGAGAGAGTCGATGGACAAGCAATCGACGGTGCTGACCATCCTTTTATCTCCGACCCTCTCGTCTCAATGGTATTATTTTTGTTGCATTGGTATTGATTTTTTTTTTTTTTTGCATTGGTATTATTTTTGTCGCATTGGTATTGATTATCATGTAATGGTAGTAATTTGCATGTACTGGTATTGATTAAATCTGCAATGGTATTATTTTTTGTGAAATGGTATAGATTTATATTGGTAGATTGTTCATTTGGTAGTTTTCATGTAATGGTATAGATTTATTTATGCAATGGTATAGATTGTTTATATTGGTAGATTGTTTATATTGGTAGTTTTGGTGTAATGGTATAGATTTATTTATGCAATGGTATTGATGTTTTTCAAAGTGGTAGTGATTGTCTAATGGATTGATAGTGATTTCTTGTTTTTTTTCTTTTGCAGAAAGATTGAGAAAAATAAGGAAAGAGGATCTGGCTGGAGATTACGGAAGTGAGAGAAAGAAAGAGAATTGTAATTAATAGATTATTGTAACTACCTAAAATAAAATTAATTAATACAATTTATATTTTCATAACAAATGTATCCTTAGTAACCATGGTGATTACTACTAAGATTACTACTTAGTAGTAATCACCGTAACCTGTCCCCAAGATAATGGTCCATTTGAGCCACCAACTTTATTAAAAGGGAACTAAAGATATATAGTTCTATACAGATAAATAATTATATCGCTAATCCAAATCCGATAAACGTCAACTGATTATTGTTATGAAACTGGGTTTGCCTCGGCACACGTTTCTGTTGTTTCTTAAGCGGCTGCTCACCCTTGTCCATTACCTGTCGCTGTTTATGACTGTGGTTGCCATCCTTTGGCGGATATGGCGGTCGCGGAACTGGGTGGTCTTTGAAGGCAAACAGTTTGAGATTCCGGCTTTAATGCGCCAATTTCACCAGCGTACGAGGAATGGGTGGGTTTGTCGGCCGACCGGCCGACGAGGATAGCCTGCCCGGTGGTTCAACCAGAGACCCATGTGGTTGATTCTAGACTGGTTTGTATGTGGGATGGGGCCACTAGGAGGGGGTCCCACTCGGCTGGTGGGATGGTTCTTTTTTATCTAGGGTGGACGCTCCTTCGGGCTAAAGGTGTGCAGATTGCGCAAATTGGTGAACCAATGGTAGTGGAGTTGCTTGTGCTTCGGGAGGCTATCATATGATGTCTAGAGTGTGGCTTGTCTGAAGTTAGGTTCGAGGGTGATGCGAAGGTCATTATTGACAAGATTAATCAAGCCGACACGAGCGACAGTCACTTGGGGGCAGTCCTGGAAGAGATTTGTCAGTATTTTCGTGCCCATCCGGGGTTTAGTGTGCGGTTTGTAGGTCGGGAGAACAATAGGGTAGCTCATTCGGTAGCTAGAAAAGCCCTCTCTTTGTACCTGATTGTAAATCGTTTCTTTGATTTCAGGGCCTGATTGTTATCCAGGATGTAACTATCTTCTTGATTATATTAATATATGCTATCTTTTGAAAAAAATATCCGATAAACATTATTGGGCAGGATAATGGTCCATTTGAGCCACTAACTTTACTAAAAGGGAAGCTAATAATATAATATATATCCCTAATACTAATCCGGTAAACATGCATGTCGCCAGATCTAACTTTAGTAACAATTTACTGAATGGGGAAGACTTTTATTTTATATGAAAAAGTAGGAGCATTGTCCATACAGATCGCTAGTGTTAGCTACAAATAATATTAATAATATCTTATTTGGAATTAAAGAGATTCCAAGACAAGTCAAAGTGGTTGCATGTGCGTACTCATCCGTTATAATTAATTATTATATTTAACTCATTATTATTAAAAAGGGACAAATGATCCAGCAGTGCATTATCCTAAATGATGCACCATATCTTTTTATTTATGGATTATGCAATATCTTGTGTGGGCTCAGTAGTTCTGGTGCCATATCCCAGTTAATTAGTTATTGGCCACCGGAAAACACTGTCAATCTCCGGAAGTTTATTGCTGACGGCAGAACTCAGACATCTAATCACCTGAGACCAGATGCCAGAAATTTGGAGACCGACTGACAGTGTAAATCGATACGTAGATGATCGTAACAGATACGTAAACAGAAACGAGACGAGATTTACGTGATTTCCTTGTTCGTTATGAACGAACAAGACTAGTCCACGGGAATAGGTGTTCTTTCTTATTTTCACACTTCTCTCGGCAGCAACCCTAGCTCTCTATATACAAAGACTCGGCCATACATCAATAACCCTAGCCGAGCCTATCCACCGCATCCTACGTAACTAATGGGCCTAGTCCATAAGCACTGAGATCAAGGCCCTATACATCTGCAACGTATAACTCAACAGACAGTAAACGTAATTAGGGCAAACGGCGGAAATAAAGTGGGGAATACGCATATCATAGAATTCTGCATGCCCGCGCGCTACTGGATATATAGAGGTTGAAATGCACTTGGAACTTGGAAGAGGAAGAGGATTACTCCACGTACCCCGGAAAAGAAATGCTGACGAAACGAGGTGGACTGCATTGATATTATTGAGAACCTTACACGAACATTAATTATTTTCTTTACTTAGGACGAAATCACTCCCAAATTCATGTTTGCAATTTATTTCAAAGGAAACCCCATATATACATATATAACTAGAATATTGGATCGATCTTGATGAGGTTCAGAGCGGCACAGGGTGGACGAAGAGGGCGGCAATGCGTTCCTTCAAAAGCTGGGGATAGGTGAAGGCATCGGCCTTGAGATAAATCACACTGATCGATCGGGCAAAATTGATGACCGGAGACAACAAAGCCGTCGGGAACGGGGTTGGTTTCTGGCAGCACATAACCTCAGTCATGTCTTTCCAAGCATCTGCAATCCGGCCCAGCAATACCTGCGTCGCCTCCTCGTCGGACACGCCGTGCTCCTTCACGTAGCACTGAACCGCCGACGCCACGTGCAACCTCTCTTGCTCGAACTGCATGCATATATATACGTGGTCAGCAAGCAAATTTACATGTGTACGTACGTATAGTGGTTAGTGCTTGGCCTGTTGTACGTAGCTACTTACCGGGTAAGACATGATGTCGTTTTGGACCCTGCAAATGGAAGCGGATGCCATCACCATCTTGTTCGTTTTACTGGTCACCCACTCAAAGGCCTCTCTGGTGGCTACTTCTGGTCCAATCCCCAAGTAGGCCGATGGGCAGACGAAGAAGTAAGAGCTGGTTATGTTTGCATGCTTCAGGTACTCCTCCAGACTCGGCACATGGCAATCACTGCGCCACCGGGCCTCAGCCAATAAGGACCCGCACACAATTCTTGAACTACGTACGTACGTACAAGAATCAACAAAAAAGATACACGATGTTAATTAATAATGCATTAGATGCACCTAGCTACAAACATTATTTAAGTTTGAACAAACGACACACAACTACGTACGTACCTCTTGCTTACAATAGTCAATACCATAAGTGGGTCCAGTTCCTGATATTGCCTGCTCCATTTCTTCGAACAGGTTAACGATGACCACCCTGTACGCCTCCTTCATAATGTCGGGGAGTTCTTCCAGAGCAGAAATATCCATCCTAAAGCAATTAATTAATTAATTAAACACAACCGGAATGAATGTACAAGTATATATGTTGCAAGAAATTAGTTAAAACTGCATCCTTATATTACACTGTGTACGTACGTACCTCTGAATGGCTTCTGTCAGGATCTTAAGTTGCTCGTAATCACCAAAGTTATCATAGAAATCATCCAAGAGGGTCAACACGGCTCCACACTTGGTGAGTATGATCCTTCCCACACGGTGCTTGGGCTCGGGGTAAACAGTGTTGATCCAGAAATAACACTCTACAAGTCTGTCTCTTGCATATGGGAATCTCTTCTTTGTTTCAAGACTTGCCCACCACCTAATTAGTACATTTCATTCTACATATATCATGAACTTCATAGTATAATTTGAAAGAGTTTAGTGTACATTTACTTAATTACACGTCCGTAAGAGAGAGACATGCACACTCAATTTATTTATTTTTTTATTTATCAGAGTGATTAGAATCATGACGCCTAGAGATTGGTTGCCCCACGATTGGTTGATTATTCAGCCTACTTTGAAGTGGATTTAAAAGACCATTATTTAGTATTTAAGTTCCTAAGAATTAATGAAATATGTGATAAAAGCTAGAAGCCATGCGTATATACAAATTTACCGACATTGTGAGTTCGTGGAGCTCCTCTTGATGGACTCTCTGCACCACGTTGAAGTCCAATTTTGCGAACTTCAGGGTTACTGTTTCATCATGAGAAGCTTGCTCATCTAGTTCGGAGTAAACTTGGATGCAATGCCTAGCAAGTGTCCTAGGGACACATTTCCACATGGGGAGTGCAAGGGAGAATTCAACTTGCTTCTTGAATGACGAAGAGGTCTTGTGATCTTGCACAATTAACTTCAGATTTTTTGTTGAGAAGCTCAAAGCTTCGTCCAATATGTCTTCACCATGAATTGCCACATGTGCTGCCTCATACAAACTCAACAGTCCTTGCCCGTCAAATGCCAACGATTCTTTGAACTTCCCCTCATGATCCTTGAACTTTCTAAACACATCTTCACCCGTGTACACAGTACTTTATTTAGATTAAGAAGAACATATATATGTTACATAGTTATATAAAACGATTGCACATATATATTCATACATACCAGAGGAAACACCAAAGCCTTGCTGTCTAAGCAGTCGGAACCAAAGAGCGGCATGATGGAGATCAATATGCTTATACGTGTCAATGAACGATTCTCCACCAAGAGCATGCACATTTTCAATAGCTTTTTCGATCTCCTCCTTAAAGTGATATCCAACCCCTAAACGCTGGATTGCATCAATCAGCCGCAACTTTTTGAATATTGCCGCCTCATCATTATCACCTACTCCAACGGTTACCATCCTCTGCACCTCTTCCTTCAAAACTTCATATTCCCTACTTTCATGCTCTGGAGTAGGATGTCCCTGAAAAGCGTAAAAGGGGATTTTATACCAATAGATGTTGATGATATTGTATTCTACAGGCGGAATGATATAAGATTGATTTTTGGACGTGTTTTTCAAAAGATTGAGTTATAACTTATCATTTAAAGGTCAAAATATCATGAAATTGAAAATTATAGTAATGCTTAATTTGGGCAATGTATATATGATGAATCTGTGGGAATTTCAAGCACAGTCGATTAATGGATGGACTTTCATTCGAGGAAGTGCATATAAGGAAATGACATATAACACAATGGCACCGTAAAACTTTTGAGTGAGGAGGGCCACAAGTGCATATAGTGGTTCGACATATATTGAGAACCTTGTTGATGAATATATTTAATGTGATAAATAAATAAAAAAAGGGATAAAGTAGGAAAATAAAATGTGACATATAAAATCTTTCTGATTATGTGAGATTTGATATCCGTAAATTTTAAAAATTTAAAATTTCTAAATCTAAAATTCATAATACAAAAAAGCAACAATAATACATTTGTAAATCAATAAATCTACGGCCTAAATCCTATTCTCCAAATGACCCTTTAGAGTAATATTTTCAAAATTATGTCCGAGGCCATTCGACTAGGTCAAAATATCCCATATTACTGTTTAAATGTACAATTAATATCATCAATTGTGTATATCTTACTGATTAACTGATTTGAGACTTGCAAGTTGTGTGATAAAATCCTACTAATTAATGGTCATTCTATAGTTGAGCCTTACGAGGATGTTTAAGAATTGAGAAAAATTAACGTAGGTAATTAAGTCTCCCGTACTAATTAATTAATTAAGAAAATGAAGTCACCTGGGATTGGTTTGCTACGATTACCCCATCATCAGAAGCAGTAGTATCACTCCTCCTGCTGGTGGCGAGGAAGTGATCCCCCCAGATCGTGTCGTCGAACACAGCTGACTGCAGTATCCGACCATCCCCACCGCTCTCCAGCGAAGCTGCGGGTGGCACGGCGTTTGATTGAAGCCACATATCGATCGATAGTACGTAGTTTGATGATCGATATTGCTGGCTGGCTGGCTTCCTGTTTGCATGCGGCGGCGGAAATTGCCCGCTACTGTACTGATGGTTTTGTTGCCATAAACAGAAGGTAAAGTTGTTAAGTACCCTTATTTAAACTAAACATAAAACGGAAAAAGAAATTTTGAATTGCGGTCCAGCGCATGCGGCCAGCTCCCTTCATCATGATTCCCAATTCGAAAGCAAAATCATTTTAATTAAAAAAAAAAAAAAAGTTTGCAAAGACAAATGAAAGTGGCTACTCATGATAACGATAAGAGATCTAGTTATTCTTTAATTGGTGCGAACAATAACGTTGTAGATGATAAGACATAGATCGAAAGGATGTCCTGAAAGAGATATGTCATTATTTTGACGCCCAGTCGGGGTTTAGTGTGCGCTTTATAGTTCGGGAGAACAATAGGGTAGCTCATTCGGTAGCTAGAAAAGCCCTCTCTTTATATCCGACTATATGTCGCTTCTTTGATTTTCAGGCTTGACTGCTTTCCAGAATGTAACTATCTATTTTTGATCAATATATGATATCTTTTGACAAAAAAAAATAACAGCAGTTTACAATATCACTACAGTTTTACTACAAATAAAATACTACTCTCGTACCAGCTGATTACTTATACGCATCTGCACAATCCTTCCTTGGAATAGATCAGTAACTGAGCATATTCTATGTTGCCAACGTTATTGCCTCTGATTCCTTCCCAATTTGTTTATTAAGTACTTCCTTTCCTCCTCCTTTCTATTTTTTATATTAGATCCCATCTAACAAATATTCCCCTGATGGATTAGCATTATTATGTTGTAGAATGGAGTCAGTGACGGGGAGCACATGGCCGGGCACTTTTACACATGTTGTGAAGAGGAAAACTGTTTAATTGAGATATTCGTGCCTTTACATCCATGTTACTCAAAATAGACTCGATCGCATGTTAATTGTTGCATGGTATTAAATAGATAGACATTCTGTCGTCGACTAATCACCCAACATTTTCCAACATATATACATTTTCCATCTAGCAGCAACCCCTCCCCCTGTTTGTAGCTGTTCATTGCTTGTGAACTGCTGGTTTTTTAGGTTTTTTCCCCTTCCCTTTCCCTTTTGTTTTGTTTTGTACTGTCCCGTTGTTGACGGTTTGTTTTGTTCGTCTTTCTGTTTCAATACAATCATACCATTATCCAAAAAAAAAAATTGTTACGAGATCACCTCAGGTGCACATCAACCGCCTTATTACTATCACTTCGCTCGATAATTAAAATGATCATATCATACATCAAAACACCTCTCGTTACGAACCAGAAATACTTCATTTGTACGAGCTTCATGCCATGAAAATTCTGAAAGATACATGGAAAATTAAAACATGTCGGCCCCCAAAACAAAGTAACCAATTATTTCAATAGTTAAAAATTAAATAGAACGAGTTTTGCCCAACAACCGTAAATAACTCAAAATAGACTCGCATATCAATATTTGTTACGAGATCAACACGGCCGTCATGAACATCAAGGTGCACGGAAAATGCGAAGAGCATAAACCCAAGACTAAGAGAAGGAAGTAATCCAAAATACCGACCCTAGTTAGCCAAGCCAACTAATGCGACCCATGGAAATTCTGAAAGATACATGGAAAATGCGAAGAGCATAAACCCAGACAATTAAACGAGCGTAATGATAACCCGTGAAAATAAATTATTGTACGCTCGCTCGCTCGCCGGCTGGGACGATGGTGGGTACGGCGAGAAGAGGGACGTCTCGGCGGGCTGTAAGACCAACGCATTCAGTCATCTCCAATCTCATTCCACCGGGTAGCCTCCAATCAAAGTCCCTCACTAGGTTCGCCAGCGCCACCTCCACCACGGCGAGGCCGAAAGAAATCCCCGGACAGCGTCGCCTTCCAGCTCCAAAAGGTATTAACTCGAAATCTTGGCCTATGAAGTCCACTTTGGTTTGGAGAAATCGCTCGGGCAGGAATTCTTCCGGCGATTCGCCCCAATCTGCCGGGTCCCTTCCGATCCCCCAGGCATTGGTTAGGATCATGGTTCCAGCCGATACATCGTAACCCATTATGGTTGCGTCTTGCATCAATTGCCTTGGAGGTAGTAACGGGACTGGCGGGTGCAATCGTGTCGTCTCTTTGATTACTAGCTTCAGGTACTCCAGCTTGTGCAAATTTTCTTCACAAATAATGACGCCAGCTTCTCTCCTGACCTCCTCTTGCAGCTTCTTCATCACCCTCGGGTGTTTCATCAGCTCTGACATCGTCCATTCCAAAAGCGTTGACGTCGTGTCTGTTCCTCCGATGAACATGTCCTGATCCACCATATGACAGTTAAGTAATTAATTAATGACACGAATATTTAGCGTGGATGTTTCTTTAATAAAAATAAACAAATACCATGATGACTGCCTTGATCCCATCTCCATCGAGGTGGCACTCCTCTGGGCTGTCCCTTTGGAGCTGCAGCAAGACATCTATCAAGGGTACTGCTTGGCCTTCGCCTTCTTCTTCTTCTTCTTCTTTTCTTTCTATCATGTTGCTCCCTTTCTCCAAACGAGCCGCGCTCTCGAGGACAGCTCCATCGAGAAACTCATCAAATCGTCGAGCCACCCTATCGACTCGAGCATCGAACCCAGTGAGTCGACTCACCCAAGAAAGTTGAGGAATGAACTCGCCCACACTAAATGCAATAAACAACTCCATGATCTCTGCCAACAGATCCCGAAAGATGCTATTGGTATTGTACTTCCTCCCGAGCGCTATCCTGCAGATGACGTCGTTGGTGAAGCAGGGAAGTAGTGCGCTCAAGTTCACCTCCTGCATGCATTAATTCCACCCGGCCATTTAATTATTCATACATAAAATAAAAAACACTATGACTGGATGATCAATAAATAAATTAATTACTATATATCCACCTGGCCTGCTTGAGCACTCGTTCGAATCCGATTGACAAGCAGCCCGATTTCCTCCTCTCTCAAAGGGCGACAGGACCGGATTTTCTTGTTGCTGAGGAGATGAAGCACGCACAGTCGTCTGGACAGCCTCCAGTGCTCGCCGTATCGAGCGTTGACGATGTCTTTGTTACCGTAGAGAAGCTTCTTAGCGGTTTTCCGTTCTGGCCGGTCGGAGGAGATGAGGTCGTGGGTCTTCATCACCTCACGCGCCGCCTTGGAGGTGGAGACCACTAGTACCGGCCTGCTGCCGAAGTGGAGCAACATGAGGTCAGGGGCACCGCAGCGCTTCGCCAAGCCAGGGAAAGTTCGGTGAGGATACTTTCCCACTTGGTGGAGGTTCCCAAGGATCGGCAGCTTCGGCGGGGACGGCGGCTTTCTGGCTTTGTTTCCGGCCGGCAGCCGGCGTTTCATGCTGCTGATGATAATATTACTGATGATGAGTGCTGCAGCGAACCCGCAGGCGGCCATCACAAGTAATAGTGTTACTGCCATTGTTTATCGATCAAACAGGCTTTCTTTCTTTCTTTCTGTGATTCCATCTATGTATATAACTTTCCCTTACTTACAGATTAGTTGGCTGTCGATATATGAATGCTAGTTAGCTGGCCGATTTGGAACATTCATGCTCATGCATGTGACCTCTAGCGTCCTGTCGTTATACAGTTAAGTTAATTAATAGTCTACATTAATTATACTAGTTTTTTGGCCCGCGCTTCGCAGCGGCAAAAAACTAATTATATTATGTATTCTTTTAACCATTAGGAGATAATTATACAATACATTTGTTTAATTGAAACATAAAAATAACTATGAGTTTTATGTAATGTATTTGTTAATTTACATAACTTTTATAGAACGTTGTTTTGAAAATCTTCCGCAATGTGTGGTCTAATAATAAAATCAAGTTATAAAGAAATATTATATTTGATTGAATTGTCATGGAAAAGTCAACTCATCAGTCATCACATAATATTTGTGTAAGGCAAATCGATGACATAGTGAATATTTTAGTTAATATTTTATTAAACTGTTAGGTAAATATTACTTATATTACAGAATATTTGTGTAATACAAATTGATAAATGATAAGAAACCCAACAACTTAATTGATAGTAAAGGAATTCCCATTCAAATTCATATTATCAAAGACTACCATGATAAATTCATTAAATTAATAAATGAATTTTCATTGAAACTTATATTACGGAAGACTTACGTAATAAAATTTTTAATTGATACATAATAGATAATTATTCCCTATAAGAGACAACTATCTTTTTATAAATTTTACTTAATGTATTGGTAATTTACGATATAATAATGTTATATAATTACTTCGCAATTTTAGTCTAATAATAGCATCATGTTATAAAACGGTCACATTCGATTACTATTGTGTAAAGTTGATTGATTTACCACACCTATGTGAAATGTAAGTTGATGAGATTGTGAAATTTATAACATTGTCACATAAATCTTTTATAATGTGTGGTTAAAATAATAAATGAAGAGTACCATAGTGTAATGGAAATTGTTGAAATGGTAAATGATAACAATTAAGTTCATAAGTATTGTGGTTAAAATTAATTCATCTTGCAATAAAATTAATTCATAAGTATTGTGTTTAAATGACTTAAGTTCATAAGTACAACTTAAAAAAGGCTTACAATAAAATTGATGTATGGCATAAGCATTCTATGTGAACAGTACCTCCGGGACAAACTTACCACATTTTTTTGGCTACTTATAAAATTAATTCATAAGTATTGTGGTTAAATGACTTAAGTTCATAAGTACAACTTAAAAAAGGCTTACAATAAAATTGATGCATGGCATAAGCCCTCTATGTGAACAGTACCTCCGGGACAAACTTACCACATTTTTGTTGGCTACTTTTTCGTAAGCAACAGTGCATGTTGCTTGGGCTTTTAATCAATTGATTCTATGTATATACCAAGTATTTTAGGACAGCGTACGTGGTTTGATTGATTTAAGTATTTTACGAGCGCCTATTGGTCCTTGTTTTCAAATTAACTAAGGATATGTTTCATGAATGCGGTTTGGCTCAGGTTCACAAATATAGATATTGGAAACTCTACGATGTATGTACGTGTTTATATTCCGAGAAATTAAACAATTTAAATTCTTTTATATTCTCAAAGAACAGGCTATCTTACTAGCATTGTTGGTTTGCGTCATCAATCTTGAAATTGTAAAAAGAAACTTCGAACAATAAGCTATCTTAAAAGGATTTGTAACCTAACTTACTAATCAAAGAGATGTTTAGTTGGAGAAGAATGGGGACTGGGAGCTAGCCAACAAGTCCAATTCTGCCTTCCTCAAGAAAGTAGCTATATGGGGATTGGAAGAACCCCGAAATGATTCTGTACGGTCAGTTCTTAGCTCAACAAGAGTAATCGTACATTTATCTGGGTTAATCATGTAGGCCTCTAATAAGCAATTATGTTAGTGTCTAAGAACACTCATGCAGTGATATATCCCGATAATCACAAAAACGAGTTGTCAACCCTCAGGAGGTAGGGAAAAACGTGATCAGGCCCGGCAGCATACTCGATCAAACGAGTGATTTTCTCAACTACAACCGTGGCCGCCACGCCCCCATTTCGTCAAGGTAGACGATACGTATTCTATTATAACCTGTTCCCGCTTAGAAAAAAGTGTGTAATAATTTTTACTGACGGTCCAAAATACTTATATATTTATAATAACAGCTCTTGATTGAGAGAACGGAGAAATTCCATATGACCCGATATATCTGACAAGCCGCACTATACGGTTCCATTTCCAATCAACAAACATTTAATTTTGAAACATTAATCGTCAAAAAAATTATATAAACAATTAATTATAATAGTCCATCATTAGTCTTGAATTTGAAAATTCCATATTCGAATCTCTCGAGTAACACATTATAGTGAATATCGCCATTATAAAAAAAACACAGGGAGGAGTCGCTTAATTGCGGTACAGCACATTCTCACTCGTGATTCCAAAACAGTGGAAGTGGTTACTGATGAAACTGATCAGCTATAATAATCCTATAACTAATTAAGTATTTAACTATTAATGAGTATGTATATGACAAAGGACAAGTTGCATGGCAACTATCCATTTTTCTTAATTTCTTTTTTTCTTCTAGTGGAAACTTTATCCCTTTACTAACTTCTTATTTTGGCCTTTACTTTGGGAACAAAATATTAGAACTAATCCACTGAAAAAAATATTAAAAAAATATTTAATTTTGTAATATTATAACTTCCAGTTACTAAGGGAGTTGAATTTGGAAAAAAATTCTAACCTGGTTTGAGTTTTGAACTAATCAGAATTGGGTTATGCATAACTAAGTAATTAGGACATTCATACTAATACAAGAATTTCATTTTGAATTTCCACATTGACATGACACTAGCTCTCAGCCAATTTCATTAATATAGATGACAATTACATGTAAATTTGCATATAATACAACTATGTGTTGCAAATCACATCATATTTTTATTATTTGAGATTTTAAAATTCTATAATAGCATGAAAAAATTTGCAAGCTGATGTCTTCAGCCTGATCTGCAGTTGGAGTTCAACCGTTCCAGGAGAAATACAAAGATTGGATCACTTATTGCGCGCTACATGCTATATTTTGGAGAATTTGGCTGGAAAGGAATGCACAGATCTTCAAAGGGACCAAGACAAATCCTACTGGAAGAGCAAGGAAAGCAGTCAGAGATATGGTTGACTGGATTGTGGCTCACAGGAAAATTGACAGCAGACTACCTTTGCTCTAGATTTCGTCTGTTTTTTCATTAGGGTGGGGTAGCAGATTCTCACTCTCTTTCTCTGCAGGATTCAGTGCGGGTCTCGCCTACTTCCGTGCTGTTGGTTCGCGTGTCTGATCGCCTGCTCCCGTGGGCTCCTAGTTTCAGCACTAGTGCCCTTCCATGTATTGTGATTTTGGGCTTCTAGGGACTATAGGAGCTAGGTCCAGGGGTTTTCTGATTTGCCTAGCACCTTCGACCCCTTCCTTCCTATTGGTTTGTTCTGGTGTTTTTGTTCCTTTTCTCTTTTGTGTTTTGGTTTTAGCACTCCTTGTGCTTTCCTTTTGGACTCCCTTTTTCTTCTGTGTACAGTTTTCATTTTTAATGCAATTCTCACATTTATAAAAATAAAAAAAATAAAAAAACTCATCTCTGAAAACAACTAGGGCTTCCATCCATTTTCAGTTTTCACACAAAAAAAAATTTAAATAAAAAAAATCGATTGCTAAGATTTCAACTGTCAGAAGAATTGCTTCTCTACTCCTTTTATTCTGACTAGCTTTCTTTGCCCGCGCTTTGCGCCGGGATTTGAACAAACCATTGAAACAGAAATGGATAATTTCGAAATTTAATATGGCGAATGTGTGCTTAGCTTATACACATGATAAATATATGTAGTGCATGGTTTACAGCATCGACTGTTTTTTTTTTCATCTGAAGAAGCCACAGAGATGTAATTCCATTGTTTTTATTTATAAAGCCCCCAGGATAAGTGAATTCCATCAGCAAAAAGTGAAGTTCGGTTGTGCTGCAAAATTTAGATGCATAGCTACTTAGAAAATGTACAACCTGATCACCCGTGGGATAGCATATAAGCACAAAATTTTTTTTTTTTTTTTGATATGGGTGATATAGATTAAAACGAAAAAACAGAAAAAGCGCCAGTACAACTACGCATACAAGGACCCTCGCCGAGGGAAACTAGAAGAAACAAAAAACAAAAGAGCCAAAGGGCGAGGGGGGCAGAAGTCCAGCCCGACAGAAAACCAGAAAAGGAAAAGGAAAAAAGACTCAACTCCGCCAAGTCCACCGTCGGCCAGCGAAGCTCCTTCCCGATCTCCCAATCGCCCAAGGAGGAGGGACGGGAAACGGGCAGAAACGATGCCAGAGAAAACACCTGCAATAGCGGCCACCCCCATGTGATTGATCCATGTAGAGGGATGAATCCATATAAGCACAAAATTAGTAGAGGGATGAATCCATGTACAATTGTTCACAACAAATAATTCCAAGCCTTCTCATTGAAGAGCTTCTGATACAAATACAAATCAAGGAGACCACCTTTTAAAAGCAAAAACTATGTTCAAACACCTGTATATAAGATACCACAAAATGAGCACAGTTTCAATTGCGGCTCCTGGATTTTATCATAAATTAACACATGAGTCTAGTTACGAACTAATTGAGATCACTCTAAACTTTGCCAATATATCAAATCAAAGTTGTGCTCTATACATGTGAAAACTAAATCTGCTGAACATCCCCAGTAGCCACTAATTAGCAATTCTTTTGGGTGGCTCATTGCAAATCTAAAAGAAAATATGTTGGAACATCCCCAGAGCTTTTTCAAATCCAAATAGAACTCCTACCTGACATCAAGCTATGACCCAACATCTAATTGCATCAGGTTTGGACAGAATAGAAAGGGAGACAAATGGAGTAACCTGAAGAAAGTAAGAGAATATTGTGAAAACAAACTCAGCAGTCCAACAATTACATCTACCAAAATGAACCTACCTATTTTCATTTTTCCAAACCCTTTGGATCCCCCAAATCCATTGATCAACCTAGAACCCCATGCGATTCCACCTGCACCTCGATGAAAATAGGACAAATTACCACCTCTAATATGAATCTGAAGAGGAAAAATTGAGATGATACAGACCTGCTCGTGGTGTGAGGTTGGAGGTGGTGCGGTGGCATCGAAGAGATTTAGCTCTCGATCACCACTTAACCAAAGAGAGTCCAGAGCAGACAACACAGCAAGCTGTGAGAAATCAGAGAAAAGAGAAGTGAAATAATAAGGGGAAAAATAGAGGGAGAATCAATTATTAGAATACGATCTCTAGCCTTCTACCCATCTCCCAAAAGCAAAAACAAAACGCACCTATAGCAATATACCTGTGACCTTCCAAATCTTGGGCACTGAACTCACCGCCTGAATCTCCCCTTATAGAAATCAAAGAAGCTCAACCGATGAGAAAGACAGAACTAAACCATTAAACTGCAGTGAAAACAAACGAATCAGAACAATCACCTATAAGTATAACCGAACAGACACAGAGGAAGCTGGAGAACTACTTCTTAGGAGAAGGAAACGTACCAAATAGGACCATTGCTGACCGAGGTCTGGAGAACTGAAACCAAAATCCATAGAACACATAGAGAGGATAAAGTCGTGAAGCCGATGACATGAATAAGATATCGAGAGCTCACCGTTTAATCCCACAATTACCTCGACTATTATTGCAGCGAATCTACAAATGAGAGGGGTTCGTTACACCTAGTAGCAGTTCTGGGAAGTAATAATCAACCTTATATCAAATCCATAAAAAACTCATATATGAACCTAAGAAAATAAAGAGATAAAATACCTGGGATTCATAGAGACACTCACTATAGTCATAGTCGCCGATGTGTATTCGGCAGTTCTCTGATGACTGTTCAATCTGGCGAGTTGAGACTTGAGAGGGAAGAGAGAACATGATGAGTAAAAAAGATAATGAAGGGAACTGCAAGAATAGCAAAGCAAGATTAACATAGAAAAGGATGAATAACCTTAAATCAAAGGCACTCTCGGCTGGTCTGGATCTTCTCCGGACCTCTCAAACCTATTGATTGCTTCAACTCCGCCATCTCCTGAGAAGAGAAAAGAAACCAATTGCATTGCACATAGAAAAGAAGAGAGAAAGAGAGAGAACAGACGGGAGGAGAGAAGAAGGAAAATGGGGTAGAAAGTAAAGTTCTGATCTCCACAAGTTCTCTCCCTTGCTCTTGACCCGTCTCTTTGCAATCTTTGCAATTGGGGTAGGTGAAATATGTGGTGGAGAAAGGAGCAGACTTCCCAATCTGACCGCTCAATCCCCTCAAACCCAGAGAGAAAACCCCCCCAAATATCCATGACAACCCCAATCACCTCCATCACCTCGAGCCGCGAACCTGGCACAACTCCCACCTGCAAAAGGAGACTCAAGCACTCGCCCTCCAATTCCTTGGCGACTGAAATCCCCATCCCGTGAAGCTTCCATCAGCAAACCAAAAATCATCGGTCCCACAAAGAATCTCGGTGACCAACGCGATTTTCTCTCTAGCGTTCCAGGTCACTCTAACCAAAAGCAAAAGCTATTTCTGCTGCTCGTCCCGTCTCCGATCACTCCCAACGAAAAAAGCGTTTAAACGACGGCAAGAGTACTCAAAGGGTCCACCATAGCCCAACAACCAATCAGAACTAACTGGATAGGAATTTTGAGTCACAATGAATAGGAAAAGCAGTCTGGATGTACAGTAATTGTTGTTTTAAGCTATTATACTTTTAATTTTTGAAGCAGCACTATAAATAATAAAAAAATCTTTAGCGACAGTGTTTCAGGTTTTATGGACTGTCTATGGCCACCGTAACATACTCCACAATCCTTAAATAGTTAGAATCGATTTTGATCTACCGTCTACCAAACCTCTGTAACTTTTAGCGACGGTGAGGTTTGACCTGACCGTCGTAATTCGTAAAGCAAAGTTCAGATACAAAGGTGACATCGTTTTCAACGGCCGGAACGTCGCTAAAATGCCCAGCCTACATTTCCAACTTACAACCTGCATCCTAGCCTAATACCATTCACCTCCGACACGGTTTTGCCCTAAACTTTTTTTTTTTTTCACCAGATTGATAGGGATAGAATTAGAGAGAATAAGGTTGATCCTTACTATAATGGGAAAATTTCTAGTTGCACCATGTCACTAAAGCAATTGAAACTATGGATGTTTGGGTTCTAATTGTTAGGTTACAACCACTAGATTAGATCTGCATTGGCCAATATCAAGGTTTTAGTAAACGATATGATCCTTCTGTGATCGTGAGGTCTTCTGTTCGATTCTCGGTGACCCCATCTGTTTCTGTTAAATCACACGGTGTTCGGACCTGTGCTTGTTCAAACTCCAAGCCTATCTGAATGGCTTGAGTTTGAAGGGGAGAGGATGTTAGTAAATAATATATGATACATGATTGAACCTCTCCTAGCTATATGGGAATTTTGGAAGATACAATTGAAAATGGGAAGAGCCTAAACACTAATTAAGTTGGGCGGCGAGCAGAGACAATGGTGGGTATGGCGAGAAGAGGGAGGTCTCGGCGGGCTGTAAGACCAACACACTCAGACATGTCAAAATCCTCTCCTCTCATTCCACCGGGAAGCTTCCAGTCAAATTCCCTCACCAGATTCGCCAGCGCCACCTCCACGACGGCGAGGCCCAAAGAAATCCCCGGACAGCATCGCCTTCCAGCTCCAAAAGGTATCAGCTGGAAATCTTGGCCTCTGAAATCCATTTTGGTTTGTAGAAATCGCTCCGACTGAAACTCGTCAGGCGATTCCCCCCAATCGGACGGGTCCCTTCCGATCCCCCAGGCATTGGTTAGGATCATGGTTCCTGCCGAAACATCGTAGCCCATTATGGTCGCGTCTTGCATCAATTGCCTTGGAGGTAGCAGCGGGACTGGCGGGTGCAATCGAATCGTCTCTTTGATTACTAGCTTCAGGTACTCCAGATTGTGCAAATTAGCTTCAAAAATAATGACACCTTCACCAACAACTTCTCTTCTGACCTCCTCCTGCAGCTTCTTCATCACCCTGGGGTGCTTCATCAGCTCCGACATTGCCCATTCCAAAAGCGTGGACGTCGTATCTGTTCCTCCGATGAACTTGTCCTGATCCATCACGGCATTCTATCATAGTTAAGTAATTAACAGGGAAATTTACATCATACGTACCGTACGTACCTTTTTATTTTTATAATAGGCTAGTCATGATTCGCCTTCTTCTTCTTCTTCTCCCCTTTCTATCATGTTCTCCAAACGAGTCGCGCTCTCCAAGACCACTCCATCAAGAAACTCATCAAATCGTCTAGCCACCCTATCGACTCGAGCGTCGAACCCAGTGAGTCGACTCACCCACGAGAGTTGAGGAATGAACTCGCCCACACTTAATGTAACAACCAACTCCATGAGCTCTGCCAAAAGATCCCTAAAGATGGTGTTTTCGTTGTATTTCCTCCCCAGCGCCATCTGTCACGACCTTACTCTCGATCGTGCGGCCCTAGCTCTCAATTCCGTTAGAGCGCTAGGCAGCCTTTCTCTCAACTCACTTGAAAGCAAAGAACAAGAACAAAGACAAAGGAAATGGGAGAACTCTCTAGTGTGTATTACTCTCAAAAATGATGGAATGAGTACAAATGAGGGAGATGGCTCCTTATATAGGCCTCTCCACATACAAGGCATCAATGCCCCTCATAAAGTCCCTCTACTACATCAATACACCCCATTAAGTCCCCCCATTATGCACTCTATCAATGTCACCATTATGTGACTCATAAGTGCACTATAAAGCTCTACATTATGGTGGAGAATCCTAGGAGCATCTCTATGCTACTAGTCTTCCATGCATGCCACATGTGCTGCTGCCATGTTGTCACCTTGTTGGCGCCATGTCATCTGCCACATGTGACATCCTCCCCCACCTATGCTCGCGACGCCCTCGTCGCGTCCTCTTGATGGAATGCCTCGATCAAGTTCTTGTTCTTCCAAAGCGTGAGCTCTTTCTCCCATGTTGCTTCACTCTCCGGCAGGTTGCGCCACTTGACTAAGTACTCCACAAAGCTTGGATGTACGCCGCGACGAGGAATGACACGACGCGCCATGATTTCTTCGACTTCATGGTCGTGTGTCTTGGTGACGAGTGTTGGTGCGCGCTGCGGCTCCCTTCGCTGCTCGTCCTCCTTGTCTTCGTGGTAAGGTTTGAGTTGGCTCACATGAAAGACCGGATGGATCTCCAAGTGCGTCGGCAGCTCTACCTTGTATACCACATTGCCAATCCTCTTCACGATGGGGAATGGCCCTTCATAGCGGCGAAGCAGTCCCTTGTGCACGTTCTTGAGATGCTTGAAGCGATGAGGGTAGAACTTGACCATCACCATGTCTCCCTCTTCAAACTCCAAGTGCCGCCGCTTCTTGTCCGCCCATTTCTTCATCTTCCTGCTAGCGCGGGCTAAGTAAGACTTGGCCATCTCCATCTTCTCGTGCCAGCCTTTAGCGAACTTGTAGGCCGCCGGACTGTTGCCTCTATACCCCGTTGCCACCGTCGTAGGTGTCAAAGGTTGTTGCCCCGTCGCCAACTCAAATGGACTCGTGTTGGTCGACTCGCTGCGGTGTAAGTTGTAGGAAAACTGCGCCGTGTCCATCAACTTCACCCAATCTCATTGGTTTGCACTCACGTAGTGCCGTAAGTACACTTCCAACAAGGCATTCACCCGCTCCGTCTGTCCGTCGCTTTGAGGATGAAATGCCGTCGAGAAGTTCAAGTTTGAGCCCATGATCTTGAACAACTCTCGCCAAAACCTGCCCGTGAAGCGCCCATCTCTGTCGCTCACGATGCTTCTAGGAATGCCCCAATACTTGACCACGCTCTTGAAGAATAGTCGTGCCGCATCCTCCGCCGTTAAGTCTTTTGGCCCAGGAATGAACACTCCATACTTCGAGAATCTGTCCACCACAACCATGATGCAACCGCATCCATCGACTTTGGGAAGTCCGATGATGAAGTCCATGCTCACACTCTCCCATGGTCGTTGAGGCGTGGGCAAGGGCTCTAGCAAGCCTGCCGGGCTTCTCTGCTCCATCTTGTCTTGTTGGCACACAAGACAAGTCTTCACATACATCTCCACGTCGTCTCTCATACGCGGCCAGAAATATGCTTCTTCGATGAGCGCTTGCGTTCTCTCGATGCCGGGATGGCCCGCCCACTTGGAATCATGGCACTCCTTCATGATCTCCTTCCTCAAGTTGGCCCATCTTGGCACGAACACCCGCTCTCCCTTGGTCATGATGAGCCCATCCTTCATCCAAAACCGCCGAGTTTTTCCTTGCTCAATGTACTCCGCTACGGTTTTGGCGAAGGGGTCATGGCCAAGGCCTTCAACGATCCGCTCCTTCAAAGGAAACGTGGGCTGGCTGATGCTTGCGGCTGCACTCTTGCGGCTAAGAGCATCGGCAACGGAATTCGCCTTGCCTGGATTGTACTCCATGACGAAGTCGAACTCGGCCAAAAAGTCTTGCCACCTCGCTTGCTTAGGGGTGAGCTTCTTCTGCGTCAGAAAGTAGCTCGTTGCCACGTTGTCCGTCTTCACAACGAACTTTGACCCCAACAAGTAGTGCCTCCATGTGCGCAAGCAATGCACCACGGCCGTCATCTCCTTCTCTTGAACGGTGTATCGCCTCTCCGTCTCGCTGAGTTTCCGACTCTCGAAGGCAATGGGATGCCCTTCTTGCATCAACACGCCCCCAATTGCAAAGTCGGATGCATCGGTCTGCACTTCGTAGGCCAACGTCGGGTTGGGGAGCACGAGCACGGGCTCCTTCATCACCGCTGCTTTCAAGGCCTCGAACGCTTCTTGGCACCTTTCCGACCAATCCCACGCCTTGTTCTTCTTCAAGAGATCCGTCAAGGGTGCTGCAATGTTGGAGTAGCCCTTGATAAACCTCCGATAGTAGTTGGCAAGGCCGAGGAATGACCGCAACTCTGGCACCTTCGTCGGCGGCTCCCATTCTTGGATTGCCTGCACCTTCGCTCCATCCATCTTCAACTTGCCTCCACCAATGATGTGCCCCAAGAATGGAACCTCCGTGGCGGCAAATGTGCACTTCTCCCTCTTGACGTACAACTCGTTGTCGCGAAGGACTTGGAAGACTTGGCGTAGATGCTCGGCATGCTCATCGAGTGTTTTGCTATACACGACGATGTCATCCAAGTAGACCACGACAAACCGGTCCAAGAATGGCTCGAACACTTGATTCATCAAAGTGCAAAACGTGGCTGGTGCGTTGGTGAGACCGAATGGCATCACAAGAAATTCGTAAGAGCCATACCTCGTCACACAAGCCGTCTTTGGCTCGTCGCCCTCTGCTATCCGCACTTGATAGTAGCCCGAGCGAAGATCTAGCTTGGTGAACCACGTTGCATCTCCAAGCTGGTCGAACAAGTCGGCAATGTTGGGAATCGGCCACTTGTTCTTCACCGTCAACTTGTTGATGGCTCTATAGTCGATGCACATCCGCAACGACCCTTCCTTCTTATTTTGGAACAGCACCGGTGCTCCGAAAGGTGACTTCGATGGCCGCATGTAGCCTGCGTCCACCAAGTCCTTGAGTTGCCTCCGCAATTCTTCTAACTCCGGTGTCGACATGCGGTATGGTGCTCGCGAAGGGGTCTTCGCTCCTGGCTCCAACTCGATCTTGTGGTCCACCTCTCTTCTTGGTGGCAGCTTCTTGGGCAACTCCGATGGCATCACATCATCGAACTCTTCGAGGACACCTTCGATGATGGGAGTTGTGATTCCCATTGAGCCTCCTTCTTCCTCCATCTTCAAGGACACAAGAAAGGTTGGTTCATTCTTCTTGAACCCCTTTACCACTTGCATGGCCGATAGAGCACTATGGGGACCATCTTCTCTCAAGAGATGAACAGTATGGAACTCCCCTTCCTTCTCCAAGCACATCGTGTTGGAGTTGGGCTTCAAAAGCACTCCCTCCTTGTCGAGGAAGTGGATGCCGAGGATGACTGGGTGATCGTCCATGGTGACGACGGAAAAGTCGATGAGGCCTTCCCACTCGCCAAGCTTTATTGGTATGTTGTGAGCAACTCCATGGATCGGGATGGACTCCGAATTGATCGTCTTGAGCCTCCCTTGCCCCTTCTCGTAGGCAATACCCAGCCGGTTTGCCTCCTCGACGCGAAGAAAGTTTTTCGTGGCACCGGTATCCACCAAGGCTTTTGACTCGCCTTGCATGAATTGCGCCAGAACATAGCACCTCCCCCGCTTGCCCTCCTTGACGTCGGTCTTCGCCGCGCCAAGCTTGCGGATTGAGCCAATCTTGGCCTCCGCTGCCTTGGGCTCCTCATCTTGAGCTTCCATGGCTGCCAATCTCGCCTTCCTTGGGCAATCTCGCACTCGATGTGGTCCGTCGCAAAGGAAGCAAGTCATGGGTTTTGGCTCGTACTTACCCCCTTTGCTCGAACCACCTTGGTGTTGTTGAGTGCGAGAACCCTCCTTGAAAGGCTTCTGCTGTTCTCCACCCTTGTTGGGCTTCGAACTCCTCTCTTTGCCGCTGCTCTCTTGTCGTTTGTACTCGACAAAAGACTCCGCCGTGGCCATGGCAGTTGCAAGGTCTTGCACTCCTCGACGTTGCATCTCCATCTTGGCCCATGGTTGCAGCCCATCAAGAAAGCCGTGCATGGCCTCCTTGTCCGTGATGTCCGGGATCTCTAGAAGCAGCTCCGAGAATTCTTTCACGTATTCTCGAACTCCACCCCTCTGGGTGAGTCTTCTCAACTTCGAACGGGCTTCAAACTCCACGTTCTCTGGGTAGAACTGCCTCTTGATTTCTCTCTTGAAATCTTCCCACGTTACCATCACACAAGTACCTCTTTCGACGTCCGCTTCACGTTGCCTCCACCACACCATGGCAACATCAACCAAGTAAAGTGGAGCGGTACGAATCTTTACCTCATCCTCTTGGATGCCGGACGCCTTGAAGTACTGCTCAAGACTCCAAAGGAAGTTCTCTAACTCCCTCGCATTCCTTGAACCTCCGAAGCTCTTCGGTCTTGGAATATCAGCACGTGGGACGGATTGCACCGTGGCTGGTCCGCTAGCCATGGCTCTCTTCACGAGAGTGACCTCACTCTTGAGATCTGCAATCTCCTCCTTCACGCC